GCTTGCAGGAAGATCACGTTCTCAACGAGGCCACACCCTGGGGCGGATGCAATCATCTTGTAGGAGCCAGAATTACCCTCATGACATGTGACAACAGCAATAAAGACTTCTTTGGGCCACTTTGCTGAACCAGAGCTGAGACAGTGGCAAGACCACACCTTTACCAGAAGTACTCTTGCTTTCTTTGCCTCCTGTGTCCCGATTCTTCCTCTATTTAAATCCAAAGCTTGTGTCAGTACCCTGAAGACTGAGTTGGAGAGCATTAGAGATTATATTTGTTCTTCTCAATGTGAATACACTAAGTAAATCCTCTCTGCTTTTCACAATTGTCTCTTTAATTGGCATACTGGAGAGTGGAGGCCAAATCGAGCTTTGGGGAAAAGAAAAAAGGGGTTACCAGACTCCATGCTTTTTAGCTTAAAACTCCAGGTATTAGAAACACACACACAATACCTTGATTTATGACCATATATTAGATTGCTGTGAGGCTTAAATATACAGAAGGCTTTTAAACAAAATTACATAATACATGTTCACCGATACAAAGACATTTCTTTTTAAAAGCCTTACTATTTTGGGTATGTCTGGATCAGTGTGTCATGGCACACACACATGTGTAGGTCAGAGAACAGTTTGTAGAGAGTTTGTTCCTTCCACCTTTACATGGATTCTAGTTATCAAACACAAGTCGCCAGACCTGGACGGCAAGCACCTTTGCCAGCTGATTCCTCTTGTTGGCCCTACAGTAATATTACCATTAGTTAATTATTTACATGAATATGGCACGTCATCACTGGGTCTAAGAAAATTTCTTACAGAACCCAGGACCACCAGCCCAGGGATAGCACCACTTGCAATGGGCTGACCATCCCCCATCAATCAGGAATTAAGAAAATGCTCTACACTTCAGCCGCATCTTACGGAGACATTTTCTTATTCGAGGTTCCCTTCTCTCAGGTGACTTTAGCTTTTGTTATAATAAGACGATCAAAAAACAACAACAACAAAACACAGCTTTGTTTCTTGTTGTTTTCTCCTGGGAATCTGGGAAGTTCAAAAATATGTAGTTGGCCAACTGGAAAACAACCGAGTAAAATGTGTTGTACCAAAAGCCCTGTGACTCACTCTGTCCTGAAAATTGCAACCAGACACAGAGCATTTCAAAGATTGCCCTTAGTATCACAGAAAATGTTAAATTCAATTTTTGTTTGTGAAATGATGGAAATAACAGTAAAATCAGTTTTTCAAGGAAGCAGATATATGTATCCAAATTTGGGTTCAGAGGGGTATTACTAATGATCAGTTAAAGGTGTATTCTGGCTTACTAATAGCTTTCTAAGTTATTAGATGTTTTAAAATATTTTCTGCTTCAAAGATCAGAATGCATCAAATATGCACAGAATCAGACTGACTGGCTATATTCGGGAAATTGAACCTTTGGACGTGTTCTGTACTCAAATCCAGTTAACATGAGCTGACTCAAAAGATCAAAGAAAGTGCACACTGCATTAATACTGATGGGTTTGTTAGTCATTTGTAAGCAGCTGGGAAGTTAATTCTTGATTTTGCATATTAACGTGAAGGTGGATTAAACAGGTTTCTACTGGATTCAAAGTGAGTAGAACCTTAGTTATGTTCAAAGTTGGCGGGCTGAGGAGGTGGGAGGGTTGCGCACGCCTTTGATTCCCGCACTGAGGAGGCGAAAGCAGCAGGATTGGTATTCAAGGCCACCTACGCTACATGAGATCCCGTTTTGAAAGAGAAAACAAAAACTCCTCTCTGAAAGTGAATGGCACGGGTATGAACTGCGCTTTCCCACAGCAAGCGCCGTCCGGAAGTTGACTCCTCCTCCCACCGGACGTCAAAGGCGTGAGCAACCCCGGCAGCTCTGCGGCCCCGCCCCGCCCCTCCCCGGGACGCCCCGCCCCGCGCCTTGACCCCGCCCCGTCCCGGACCGCCCCGCCCCCCGTCTTGGCCCCGCCCCGCGCCTTGGCCCCGCCCCTCCCCGGGCCGCCACGCCCTCACCTCCCACCGCCCCGCGCGGGTGTTGTCCAAGATGGCGGGCGCCCTGTCGGCGCCGCTGCCGCTGCGGCTGCTGCTGCTCGTGGCGCTGCCAGCCGCGGGGTGGCTGACCACCAGCGCGCCCGGGCCGCCGTCCACAGCCCCGCAGGTAGGGCAGGGCGGGCGCGGCGGGCCGTCCCTCGCTGGGACCTCCGGCGGCCGGGCGCGGGGACGCTGCCCCCGCCCCGTACGGCGGACGGGACCGGCGGGGCCGGCGGGACAGGGTCTCGCAGCCTGGGGCGGGGGCGTCTCTCCGGGAGGCCCGGCTGGCGCGCGCGCGGGCGGGCGTCCCCGAACGTACGGCGCCGGGGATCTCGGGGGTCTGAGCCCGGCCCGGGCCGGCGCTGTTTGCGTCGCCCCGTTAGCGGCCGCTCCCGGGCCACCGAGCCTGCCCCGCCGGCCCCGGGACTGTCCCTGGCTGTCCGGGAGAACCGTGGCTTTGGCATACTCGGGGACGGCCCATTTTTACTCTTGTTGCCACGTTTGCCTTTCTTCGCCTGTACAGTAGGAAAGAGTTCGGAGATTACAGAATTCGGGTTTTCCCCAAATGGCCAGAGACTCGGGAGAGGGGCCTTATTTTTCGGTAGGAACACACTAAATACGAAAGTGACTGACAGGATAAATGCCACTTTGTTTTTAAGTTTCTGCTTGTTGTGGGTGTATGATGTTGGATCGGGGACATGCCAGAGGAGTGGAGGTCAGAGGACAGCCTTGTGGAGTCAGTCTTCTCCATGGTCCTGTTTTGCAACAACCGATTTTGCAACCCCTGAGCCATCTCCGGTTATTCATTCTACTCTTAATGTTTTAGAGTTATGCTACAACCCTTTTGAGGACAGAATTACAAACGTTTGGACACATTCTGGGTAGCCACGACCTTTCAACTCTAAGCACATTTTGTATACGAAATTATACTTGAAGCACAGTTGCTTCTGGTAAAAATAGCAACGGTATGGACAAGCACCAAGAAACCGAATAAATATTGGGTGATTTTAAAGTTATAGAGATATGGACTTATTTCCCCTCTTTTACAATTTTGGTGATTCTTTGTCATCATTTATGAACCTAAGAAACATTTGAATCTACCCACACAATCATAAAAATTTTTTACTTTCAAGGTCAAGTCCACAGCACTATGGGCTGACTCCTAGTGACCTCACCATTTCATCTCTCCCTTTCTAGTCTTTATTCCACTTTCGCAAAGCAGGCAAAACACCTACACATAAAGGTTAAATTAAGTTCTCAGAGGAAGAAGTGTGACCTGGATCTGAATTTAATGTCAGGTGAAAATAAGAAATGGAATTCACTTTTTTGCAATGAAATCATTCAGAGCATCAGAACTTGGTATATGCATACGAGTGTGTACATGTGAAGTCATTCAAGAGTATCAAAAGGATTGGTGTGTGCAGGCTCAGACACGTGTGCAGGGACGAGCACTCAGAAGTGTGTGCTAGAGACTGATTGTTAGGCTCCTCAATGAGGGCTGCTTCCATATCCCTAGCAAAAGAGCTATACTTGCTTCTGTGGGAAACAACAAAAACAGTGCACCAGTGTCCTTTGCCTCTTTCAAAGCATGCTTTTGCTAAGCAAATGATGAGGTGTAAATAGAGTGAGTTATTAAGGATGTGTACATTTACTCTTGAAAAGCAGAAGCTGTACAAAGATTCTCGGAGGCCTTTTCTGGGCTTGTGGAAGAAAGGTAGTCTCTGATTAACACAGCCTCCCGAGGCAGGAGCAGGCACAGCAAGGGGAGTGTGAGATGCCTCTGTTCACATCTGGGGTCAGGAAATGGGGAAAGGATTGTGGGTGCGCTGCTGGCTCTCTCCTTTTCTCTTTATATTCAGTCCAAAATAGCTGGTGATCTGGTGCTGCCCACGCCTTACAGACATACCCAAAGGTGGTTCCCCAGGCGGCTCTAAATCCTGTCAGCTTGACAGTGAAGATTGGCTATCACACACCCTGTCTCAGAATAAAAACAAGGGCTGGGGGTGGTGTAGGCGTACTTTTATACAAAATTTGTATTTGCGTTTCTTCATTTTTTCCCTACTTCACCCCAGTCCCTTCTAACACCCCAACACCAGGTAGGATAGAGAAAGGTGTAGTGGGAGAAGGGGTTTCTTGGAGCCAGTCCAACCCTTTCAGGAGAGCTCCAACTTTTTGTCTCACAGCAGCAGCCAGGAGCAGCAAGGAGGAAGCAGGAGCAGCCTTGTCCTTGGAGCTCCACCCTCTCTGGGCTCTGGCAGGTCTTCTCTCTCCAGAGCCCTCAGAATTAAACCATCTGCAGCTGACAAAGAGCTCCTCTCGAAACTGGAATGGGGCAAATAGCCTGGTGCTGTAGACCATCTGAATCAGTCTGACATCCCAGACCAGGGACCAAAACAAAAACATGTTTCTATCCACAACAGGGCGGTGTGCTGTGAGGAGCAGTGTGCCATGGAGATGGCTGGGGGGGGGGGGGGGGGGGCCCCTGGCGGCCAGGCCTGGGGATAAGTCACGCAGCCCCGAGTCCTGGACGTACCAGACCTTGGCTCAATCTCAGTACTAACAGGAAGGCTTTTGGTCAACAGTGACAGGCCCTCGTGGTCAGCAGTATCTCTTGAAACAGTGCTTTTCTACAGAGAGCATGCCAGCGGTAAAGTTTAAGAATTTGGGTAGATTGCTGATTGACGAGACCTTTAGCAACAGCAAAACTGTCTGCTGCAGAATTTACCCAGGAGGCATGCTCAGGAATGGTCAGGATTTGATAAGAAACCACTGTGTGTGCCAGTGGCAACCAGTGAGTAAACTGCTGGTCGGTTTAAAGCCTTGTGTGAGTGACTGCTGCTGCGCACACCAGTGACCTTAATGAAGGACATAAGTTCCAGTTTAAATGCTCTGCTTCTACCCAGCTCAGAAACATAAAGCTAGGCAGCGCTCTGTTTAAAGAGAGAACTCCTAAAAGTAAAGTGGGAAATGATGAGAGAGCAGAGCAGGGTCGCTTCTGTGGGTGGGGCCGTGGGCATCAGAGATCTCTGTAAACTGCAGCTGTGTGGGAGCCTCAGACACCTTCGAGTGCCTGCACGCGTGCACACACCACACCCTAATTGAAAGCAACAGCGATACATTGAAGAATAACAAACGAGAAATGAAAAGCGAACAGGTTACTCTGGGTAACTGGCTCAGCAAGTTAAAGCCTTGCTTCAAAGCCTGGCAGCCTGCGCTTGCTCCCCAGAACCCGAAGGCGGGAGGAGATGACAGACTCCCCCAGAACTGTCCTGTGGCCTCCACACACACGCTGTGGCATGTGGCCTCATTCCTGTACACATACATAATAGCAAATAAAAGTTTAGATAAACCAGGTTATTTTCCATTTGTAAACTGTATCTGTCCAATATTTACATTTCTTTTGCAGGATGGTATCAGAATTAATGTAACGACCATGAAAGACAATGGGGAAGTATCCAAAGAACAGGTTTGTCACCTTTTGATTATATTTTTTAGTATAACATTTAGCCACAAACTTTTACTGATTGTATTAGTCCTTTTTTTTTTTTTTGTTCTTACATTGAAATGCCTGAGGCAGGCTACTTTATTGAAAAAAAGTAGCTCTGTCAGGCTATGTGAGGGTTTGCTAATGAGGCTAGGTATAAAAACAGCTCATTCCTGTAATCCCAACATTTTGGAGCCGAAGCAGAAGGCTTGCCTCAAATTAAAAGTCCGCCTGGGCCTCTTCAGTAGTGAGACTGTCTTAAGAAAGCAAAAACCAAGGGCTGGAAAGATGGCTCACTAGTTAAGAGCACTGGCTACTCCTGCAGAGGATCTGGGTTTGATTCCCAGCACCCACATCCCAGCTCACAACCATCTGTAACTGACCTAGACAGGGTTCTGAGAGGGATGAGAAGATAAAGAAGATAGAAAAGTTGGGGTCAGGAGGTCTTGCATAATGTGTGTCTTATGTCAAGAAGTACTGTGTGTGTCGTGTATGTGGTTTAAGGGGAGAAATGGGACAGTGTAAAAGTCTGTCACACAGTAGAGCCCAGCAGGAAGTGAATCAAGCAGTGCTGCGCAGGGAACACAAGCTGTCTCAAGGTGTCAGAGGGTGGGCTTGGGAGATAGCTGTAGCCCTTGGGGTGGGAAAAGTTGAGTTCTCAGAATCAGAAGCTGAATCTCTCCCAAGGCCCTGACTCCAGCCCATTACTGGCCCTGCCAGCCTTGTTCCTTCTGTATGTCAGGGCCTCAGGGAAAGATTTGGATCGGCCTAGCCCTCCATATCTTCACTTCAGAGGACACAGCACCCGCTTTGCCTCTCAGGCACCACACAGTGCACACAGACATGCAGGCAGGACATCCATACAAATAGGATAAAAGTAAACACATTTCTTAAAAGAAACCAACCCAAACAAAAGCCTCAGAACCCCAAAGGCTTTTGTTGTTTTGCTTTTGGCTTAGTTACAGAGGTTAAAGGGCATATTGCTGGTGATGGCTGTCTTTGGTCTCCTAGAAAATGGCACCACAGTGGTAGGAGCTTCTCAAACATCACCACACTGAGAGAGACCAAGCTCTAACACCTGCCACACACACGCTTAGATCATGTGTTTTTGAGGTGAAGCGTTTGTTGTCATTTATAAACCATTGGAATTAATGCATATGCTGCTTTGTTTTAAGGTTGTTCTTAACGTAACGTATGAGCGTGGACAGGTATGTGTAAATGGCTCACCTGTAAATAGTGGTGTAACCCGAATAAGCTGTCGGACATTGATAGGTGAGTACTGCTGAGTTTGCAGCGTTGCTCTGTCTGTAGTAACACAGGTTCACTCTGGTGTGATGGAGTGACACCTTACTTCTAAGGCATTCAAAACTATGCTGGTTGTTCTTCCACGAGACTGGTGTTTACTTTCCTGTAGGTCAACAGGGTAGGAGTGGGCATAGATGTGGGCTAGCGAGATCTCAAATCCTGTACAAGTTCTCATCACAATTGTAGAAAATAGGCAGATATTAGTTGCATGTGTGGGTCCTACTTTACTTTTTTACTCATTTGTCAATAGAATACTATTATTTCTTTTTTTTTTTTTTTTTTTTTCAGAAACAGGGTTTCTCTGTGTAGCCTTGGCTGTCCTGGACTTGCTTTGTAGACCAGGCTGGCCTTACACTCACAGAGATCCACCTGCCTCTGACTCCCCCAGTTCTGAGATTACAGGCGTGCACCACCACACCTGGCCATTTTTCTTTTGACTTTTCAAGGTCTTTTTTTGTTGTTGTTATTTAAAGAATATGGTAATATTATGTTGGAATATACCATTTTACTTTAATAAAATAAAGGTTAGGGAAGTGTCACTGGTGCTCTGCAGCTTGTGAAAAACAGTGAGTGATGAGGCTGGCACCCAGCTGGCACTGAGGCAGGGCGGTGAGCAAGGGCATTCATTCATGCCTGGGGCAGGCATCACTGAGAACATTCTTTGGAGGCTCTTGTTTCTAATTTGCCTTACAGTAGAGGTAGGTGATTCAAGGACTAAAGAGTTACCAGTCTGTGTGTTTAACACTGCACTTTCCACTGTGGACTCTCTTGCCCTGCAGGATGTGGGGTTAGACATGCCCACCAGGCTGGGCTGGACATCAGTGAGTAAACAGGCAATTGAAACACGAATTTGTAAGGACCGGAACTTTGATGTGCAAACTTATTTTTCCATAGTCAGCTACTGGGGCTGCCGTGGTGGGGAATCCCTGAGTTCTTGGGGTTGAAAGCAGTGTGGACAACCTAGTGTGGGAAGGTGCAAACCTCCTGCCCTGGCTCAACAGGGTTTCTCTGTGTAGCCTTGGCTCTGTGGAGTCTGGACTGGATTTCTAGACCAGGCTGGCCTCTAACTCACAGAGATCCTCCTTCCTCTGCTTCCCCGAGTGCTGAGATTACAGGTGTGAGCCACTGTGTCTGGCTTTCAAAAACACTTTTAATGTACTAGAGATAGAGCTCAGTGGTAGAAAGCGTGCCAAGCAAGTGGACAGTCCAGGTTCCGTCCTCAGCACCACAACAAACATAACAGAACCACTAAGACAGTAAAGGAGGGTGAGGAGGTGCCTCCCTGGAGGAGAGCTTGTTGACAGTGCCAGAGAACTCACAGCTGCCAGCGCTGGAGCAGAGGGGTCAGTTACATCACAGTGACACGCCCTGCATTCTTGTGAGCATGGTATGGCTGGAGCCTAAGGAGGAGACTTGTGAGGTGACTGTGACAATATGAAGTGGCAAACAAGTTGGTCATCAGGTGTTGTAGGTCAAAGGAACAGCCCTTTAAAGGCTCACGATGACTTTTAGGCACTGGATGTGCTTTGAGAATGTGCATCTATGTGCTTCCTTGACAAATAGGCCTCATACTTGAGAGGCAACAAGTAAATGTGCATTTTGTGGCAAACTGATTGGTGTGTGTTGCTTTAAAATCCGTTTGAAAGATGTTGTAGGTGGTGTTTAATATTTACTATTGATCTATCTTCTGGTAATGCTGCTGTTAGTCCTAAACAGCTGTATACCCAAATCACCACACAGACACTGGGTTTTTAGTTAACCTAGAACATGATGCTGGGCAATAGTTACTCCCTCCTAAACCTCCAAGCCCTCATAGTTTCCTAACATTCAGATTTCCCACATTATACTTGCTTTTTGTGAAATCTTAAGTCTGGTTCATGCTCCACGTCCTCCAAAATCTCTCCTCCAGCTCTGCCCCTAGCTCTCCTCGCCCCTTCTCCTCCCACTCATTTCCTGCCCTCTGGCTCCTCCCTTTGCACAACATTGTGGCTAGTTGTTTTATTTTGGCCTGTTTACACACAGTTGAGACAGGTTGCTCAGGGTAAGTATCACAATGCAATATCCAGATTGAAACCAGACTGGGGGCGGGGGGAGAAATCAGCATTTGAATGAACAAGGGTAAGGTGTGTACATTTCAAAAGAACATTATACCAACAGAAAGGTTTATGTTATGTGTGGGCAAGTGCCCCCAGAGACTAGAATGGAACATTTGATCCTATTACAGCCACTTGTAAGCCACCTGCTGTGTGTGCTGGGTTCTGACTTCAGATCCTCTGATGAGTAGTCAGCTCTCTTAATGGATGCACCATCTCCCTAGTCCCTTAATTTGCTTTTTTGAGACAGTTTTGTCATGTGGCCCAGGCTACCTGAGCTATCTCAGCTGCCCAAGTACTGGAGTAATAGGCATACACCACTATTCCTGGATGCTTTATTCTTTTAATCCTTTTTATTTTTGAGAATTTCATACATGTATAGATGAAATATGATCACATCTTCTGAGTCATAATTGTGGAGGGATAGACCTTACCCTTTTCCCACCCCTCTCCTCTCCAGCTCTAAAAAGTTACTGCTGCAAAGGATTGAGAATACTAAAAAAAAAAAATTAAAGCCCTGCACATGGGCCCGTGTCACTGGCTGGGTCTTATGGGTGAATAAATGGCTTCCTATTTTGTGAACATGAGACTTAGTGCCTTGTGCCTTGTTTTCCATTTGTGCTATGTCACTCTTCACTGGCAGCCATTAGGAAACCATAGCAGAGGCGCTGCCACTGTGAAACAGCAGATTCAGGCTGCAGACCAGCAAGCATTTCCGTAGCCGATGAGTGGATAAGGCAGGAAGGAATTGCCAGCTCATCTCTGCTTTTTTATAAACCTGAGACTATTAAGGTTTGCTGCTGTCTTGTTCCAAGTAAATGGCAAAAAAATTATCAAATACAGTAACAGCTTTAATGGTGATTATTGCCCAAAGTCTCACTGCTCTTTTTTTTTTTTAATAGTGAAGAGTGAAAATCTGGAAAATTTGGAGGAGAAAGAATATTTTGGAAGCGTCACTGTAAGGATCTTGGTTCGTGAGTGGCCTCTGACATCTGGTTCCAGTTCACAGCTAATTGTCATTCAAGAAGAGGTAGTAGAGATTGATGGAAGACAAGTAAGACAGTATGCTTATTAAATGGAGGTTATGTCTGTGTTACTGTGCAGGTTTTGAGTGCTTTTTTTGAATGATGGGCAAGAAGGTCCATGTCTTGGTTACTTTTCTGTTGTTGTGGAGAGACACTAGGACCAAAGCAACTTAGGAAAGAAAACATCTAATTGGGGCCAGCTTACAGTTTCATCATGGTGTGGCACATGGCAGTAGGAAGGAAGACATGGGCTGGAGAAGGAGCTGAGAGCTACATCCTGACCTCCAGTGACACACCCCTCCAACAAGACCACACCTCCTAATCCTTCCCAAACAGTTCCAAAAACTGGGGACCAGTCATTCAAACAGCCTGTGTGGGCCATTCTCATTCAACCTGTCACAGTGCGCTACAATTGTCTGGACCTAATCACAAAGCATTTTTGCTACTTTTGCATTTTGCTTTTTAAAAATCTCACATTCATATACCTTTCTATCCTTTAAAATGTGCCAAGCATCAGCATAGAAAGTGAAGGGGCTTGGTGAGGTTGGTAGTTGTGCCATTCCTCGGTGCTGAATGGATGAAGGGAAGCTGCTGTTGAAGCTGAGTGGGTGGGAGGAAGGAGCAACTGTCTGAATAGTTTCTTGGTTACAGAAATCGAAAAGGGAAGTTCACCTTTAAACTCTACAACACTGTTTATAGTAAACAGTACTCATTTTTTCTCTCATAGGCTCAACAAAAGGATGTCATTGAAATTGACATTTTAGTGAAGAACCAGAGAATACTCAGACATTCAAACTATTCCCTTCCCTTGGAAGAAAGCATGCTTTATTCTATTTCCCGAGACAGTGACATCTTATTTACCCTTCCCAACTTTTCCAAAAAAGGTAATTTTTAAAAAGTATTTAAAATATTAATGAAATTTTTTTGCCTTATATACTTTAAAAAGTTATTTCTGTTTGTTGTGTGTGTGGATACCTCTGGAGGCAGAAAATGGTCAGACCCTGGAGCTGGAGTTTTAAACTGGGTGCTGGGAACTGAACTTAGGTCCTCTGGACGAGCAGCCAGCGCTCCATCCCCCATATGCTCTTAGGCATTTCTGCCATTACTTGAAAATGCTGGTATATGTCTTTACTTTGTGTTTGGAAATAGACCTCTTAAAAAAAAAATACTTTGATAATAGGATCAAAGCAGAACATTTATGTTTTTCATTGTTTGTTTTTGAGACAGGGTTTCTCTGTTTAGATCTAGCTGTCCTGGAACTCACTCTGTAGACCACTACACCTGGTAGAATTTTTACATTTTATTGCATTTTCTTCCTTCCTCCCTTCCTTTCTTTGCTCTCCCCTTCCCTTTTCCTTCCCTCCCGTTTCTTCTCCTTTCCCTTCTCCTTACTCCCTTCCCCACCTCTCTCCTGCCTTCCCTTCCTCTTTTCCTTCCTTCCCCTCTTCCTTTCTCCCCTCCCCTCCTCTCTCCTGCCCTCCTTCTCCTCCTTCCTTCTCCTTTCTCCCCTCCCCTCTTCTTCTTTGTCCTTCCCTCTCCTCCCTTTTCCTTCCCTTTCCCTCCCCTTTCTTTCCTTCCCTCTTCTCCCTGTCCTTCCTTTCCTCCCTTTTATCTTCTCCCTTCCCACCCCTCCCATCCATTCCCTCCCCTTTACTGCATCTTCCTTCCCCCCTTTACCCTTCCCTCCTCTCCTCCCCATTTCCAGGCAGGGTCTTGCTCTGTAGCCCAGGCTGGTCTGTACTGTGCTAGGTAGACTATGGTGGCCTTGAATCTGTGCTACCCTGCTTCACAATTGTCGGGTTATAGGAGTAGGCCCCCGTGCCTGGCAGAACTTAAAGTTTAGGTTCTCTGTGTGACAGAACTGTAACTTCTGTAGCCCCTTACAGTGGTCTGAGTACATTTCTTCTTCGGTGGTTAACTCAGTAAATGCAATTCTTGTGCTCTCAATGTGAACTACATGTTAGGAGAGTGCTCACAGGTATTGCTGATGTGCTCTGCTTGGGCTTGCAGAAGATGCCAGCATGCTGCTAGCAGTTTGCTAACCCTATTCACCCTCATCAGTAGGGAGCACCAGTTCACTGCAGACCACTAGCCATTACCTCACTGGGAATGTGGAAACAACTGTGGATGGGAATGCTTTACCTGGCAAATTGCCTGAGACTCCGCTGAGAGCAGAGCCTCCGTCTTCATACAAGGTAAATCAAATGCTTGGTGTTACCTGTAGGTGGTGTTACCATAAGCAGTTATGGTTAAGGTAAAGAAGATGAGGTAGAAACTATAAAGTAGTGGATCATAGCTGGGCGTGGTGGAGCACACCTGTAATCCCAGCACTTGGGGAGGCAGAGGCAGGCTGATATCTGTGAGTTTGAGGCCAGCCTCATCTCCAGGGTGAGTTCCAGGACAGCCAAGGCTACACAGAGAAACCCTGTTTTGAAAAACAAAAAACAGTAGAAGATCATTTTTAACAGTGAATGCGTTATGTTTTTTGTTGTTTTTATTTCAGTTCTCAGCCTGGGCTGTCTTCATCCTGTCTTCATCCCGAGTGCTGGTACTATCGGTGTGAGTCACCACATTTATTCTGTGTGTACTTGTGTACACACACGTGTTGTGCGTCTCACAAGACAGCTTTCAGGAGCTGGTTCCTCCTTTCCCCATGCTGGCCCCGGGAACCATATTCAGGTTATGAGACTTGGCCACAAGTTACTCACTGAGCTCTCTTGCTAGCTAATATCTTAATCTTAATGTGGTATTCAGGATATTCCCATTTTTCTTTTGTAAGCTTCACAAAATAGTCAGCTGATATAGTCAGCTCATGACTATCAAGGCCATGGATTTCAGTTGGTTGGGAATCTTCAGTTCCAAAGTTCATTCTCACATCACCCTTTTTTGTTTGTTTGTTTGTTTGTGTTTTTTTTAAGATAGTATTTCTGTGTAGCCTTGGCTGTCCTAGACTACGTTGTAGCCCAGGCTGGCCTGGAACTCACAGAGATCTGCCTGCCTCCCCCTCCTGAGTGCTGGGATTAAAGACAAGCAGCACCGTGCCCGGCTACATCTGCACTTTTTAAATTATTCAGCTCTCACCTTGTATACACACAGGTGCAGTGTGCCCTCAAGATACTATAGAGTTGGTTAAAATGATAGGTTTGGAGCCTACTGCTCAGGTTAAAAATGTGATCTGTAGTTTACTAGTTGTGTAACCTTGGCTCAACCTAACCTCTTCAACATTTCTTAGGTTCACCTTGCTCACTCTGTCAAGTACTATAAAATATTTCATCAAGACATTGTAAGGAATAACGGGGTACTCCATGTGAAATTGCATCAGTGCCTTCCAAGGGCACTTCCGTCACACATGACATTTACAGGCAGTTGAGAGAGCGCCTGGCCCTAAGTGGGGAGGGTCTATGCAAGTAGTTCTCTTTGGAGGCCAAAATTGTTGAGTTGGGGTTTCTGGGGCCTAGAGGAGAGGGAACTGTGTACTGCGGCACCTCTGTCCGCCACCTCCAAGCAGGTCAGCCTCAGAGGGGCCTGTCTTGGCCCATGCCTTGGTGTCATACGGTTCCTTTCTTGTTCTTAAGGCATGAAACACAGAGTGAACCGTGGGCCTTCCCCGCTCTCAGAGGTGTGGCGTTTGTTTTCCTTTCCTTGTTCTCTGCCTGCACCCGTGGACAGGCCTCACTGGTCTGTCGGTTAGCATTAGTTCTCCCTTGATTTGTAAGTCAACAGCAGGGTAAACAATGTTTGTGCGTGTGTCTTGGGAACATAATTTTTAAGATTGTAAAACATTGTATTTAGGTACATTTTAAAGTGAAAATTTAACGTCACGTTATATGTCCCATGGTCATCCTGTCCCATCACTGTGGAAACAGGGAAAGTAATTTCTTTCCTTTTCTGAGTTAGTTTTGACACACATGTACCCACTGTTATAATCAAAACACAGGTTGTTTCTGTCTCCCAAAAACAAAATGTTAGGAAATTCTGCCAGGCATGGTGGCAAAAAACTCACAAAAATACTACACAAGAGGCCGGGAATAGTGATGTCTGCCTTTTATCCCAGCACTGGGGAGGCAGAGGCATCTCTATGAGTTTGGGAGTTTGAGGCCGGCCTGGTCTACAGCGTTGTTCCAGGCCATCACATCCAAGCCTATACAGAGACTGTCTCAAAGGAAAACACATTTAAAAGTCTAGTTTACGAAAAAGGCCTTTCTAATCAAAGCCCTCTTCCCAGGTGATGTGCCAGTGGGTGGAAAAGCTGCAGAGAGCACTGCGGGTTCTGGCCAGCGTGTTCCCAGTGTTCTTCATGTTTCTGAATGTCATGGTGGTTGGAGTTCTGGGCGCAGCAGCAGTTATAACTGTGCTAAAGGTGCTTTTCCCAGTATATGAGAACAAGTAAGTGCTTCTTGTTTTCAAGACATTATTAGTCTTAACTGTTAAAAAGTAGGTTATGTTCACTATATTTTGTAGTAGAAAGTATTATATAGTAGAAAGGGTAAGACAGTGGGAGGAAAAGAATAACTTTTTAAGCCCATTTTTCTGTTTAGCAGAATCAGAATATATTTATGTACTACCTGAGATCAAGATCCAACCATCAACAGAGATGTTGCTAAGTGTTCCTAAAAGCAGAAAATGAATAGGAAAACTAGGAGTGTGTGTATGGAGTCAGAAAAACCAGAACCAACTAGTCTCAACCCCGGAGCATCAGTTCAGTTAATGTAAGACCAGTGGGGTCTTGACTGAGCACGATACAAACAAAAACAAAGGCACCAAATGTTCTCCTCCCATTTGTATGGGGCAGGGTCTCATGTGGACCAGACTGGCCCTGAACTTGGCCATGTAGCTGAGGATGGCTTTGGACTCCCGATTCTCCCGATTCTGCCAAGAGCTGGGATTACAAATGTGTGCCAGCAAGCCTGGTTGATACTTGTGGCCACTGGCAGACAGGTTCTTTCATTCATTCCACTCTTAACTCCTGTCTCTCAGCTCCCACGTTACAGGTCATGAAGTTACATTGCTGAATGGCTAAGATAGGGTTAGAGTGGCCGAAGAATTCTGAGCGCAAGAGGCAGAGAGCCTGTACAGATACTCACTGCCCTTCTAATCCCTCCGAGTCCCTCAGTGTGTTTGGTTAGAGAGAACTTGGAGCCAAGAGTTTGCACAACCTGTATAAGCCATGAGAGGGAGGGTGGACCGTGACCTTGAAGAAGGGCTGCTGTGCACCTGTTTCCAGAAGACGTGTAACACTGGCAATAACAACTTACTTTGTATTTCAGAGGAATTCTTCAGGTGGATAAAATGAATGCTATGTACGTGGCACCTATCATCTTATATTCAGATGACTCTGAGGAAACAGCAGAAAAACTTAAAGATAAAACCTGTATTTAAAACACCATTTCCAATTATGGACACTCTGAATCAGTCTGTTGTCTCCAGACTTGCCATTTGAGTACCATTTTATTTAAGTTAATCAGTCAATGTATAGAAATTGCCAAATTACCAAGACCGTGTGAAAATCAACCTTTACAGTGCCAAGTTACAGCTCACCTTGTTCCACACATGTGCCAGCTGCTCAGAATGAAACAGCCAAAATGAAACAAAAGGTGAGACATAATGCCAAGTGCCAGTCACTTCCAGGTGCCTTTGCTGCAGAAATTGTATCTATTTGATTACTATTGTAAGATTTTATAAGAAGCACTTTATGAAATCCTAATTTAAAAGCTGACGAATTTAATTTTTTTCTACTCAGTACAATGTGCCTTTATATCACAGACATGACTCAGCATAAAAATCACTAAAGTGTATCATGACTTATGCCTGTACCAAAACTGCTTATCTTGAATGCACCAGGATTTATAATAGTGACATGTTCTCACTCTAAAATAAACCTTTTTTAAGAAAAATAATTGTTTCCTTTTTAATGATGTGCATGGAGCTGTGGGTGTGTGTACATGAGTACAAATGCCTGTTGAGGCCAAAACAGGGATATTTGACTTGAGAACCAAACTTAGGTGGTCTGTAAGAGGAGGAAGTGGTCTGACCCACTGAGCCGTCTTCCCAGACCCCGTTTAACAGGATAGAAGCGTAGCCGTTTGGGTTCCAGGTTACCTAAGTGAGAGTTATCTGTAAGTATAGCACAGCTCCTGTCTCACATGGCTGAAGCTGAGGCTCGGCTCTTTCCAAGATGCTGTCATAGAATTAAGGCTGTGGCCTCAGCCTTCCGGTTTTAAGTACAGTGTATTTGTAAGCATGTTTCACATCTTGTTTCCTAGCTGTCACTCAGACTGGCCTATTTCAATAGTGTAATCTGGTACATAAAACTTATTTCTTCTATGTGGTATTTTTTATTGTTTCATTTAAAGAGTTTTGAAAGCCAGATATGGTAAAGCACATCTGTGGTCCTAGTACTTAATGGCAGGAGGAAGAGCTCACCGCCACAGAGTGAGACTGTTTCAGGTTTTTGGTTGTAACCCATTTTTAAAACATGGCCCAAGAAAGTACTTGCTGCTTGCTGCAGTTTTGATTTTTCCCCCCTTCCTACCAATGGTAAGGATTAGAACCCTGGAAAGCACTGCAGTACTGAGCTATAGCCCCCGGCTGCTAGGGAGAGAGATGAGGGGAGGGAGGGTGGCGAGCGTGACAGTAAAGTTTAATCTTGTTGGCTTTTGATAATTTTTAATTAAATTTTTACTTTTTATATTACAGTGTATTCACTTTGTATCCCAGCTGTAGCCCTCTCCCTCATTCCCTCCCAACCCTTCCTCATCTCCTCCCATGACCCTCTCCAAGTCCACTGATAGGGGAGGTCCTCCTCTCCTTCCTTCTGACCCTAGCCTGTCAGGGTCTTGATAATTTTCGTATGTGGTCCAGGCTGGTCTTAGACTCACCGAGTCGTTAAGCACGACCTTGATCTTGGATTCTCCCGCATGGGGGATTACAGACAGTAACACTGTACTTGGTTGGACGCAGAGCTGGAGACCAAACCTACGGCTTCATGCTCGCTAGGCAAGAACTCTTATCTAATGAGCTATAGCCCTAGCCCTAACTGGATTGGTTTTTAAAAATTTCTTTCAAGAGAGGGTTTATTTGTGTAATCCTGTCTGTCCTGTAATTCGTTTTGTAGGCCAGGCTGGCCACAAGCTCACAGATCCACCTGCCTCTGCCTCCCAAGTGCTAGGATTAAAGGTGTGTGCCACCACTGCCTGGCTTAGCTGGAGTGTGTGTATACATGTGAAGATCTCCTGAAACTTGGGTTATAGTAGGTTTTGAACCACCTGAAGTGGGTGCTAGGACCCAAACTGAGGTTCTCTATAAGAGGAGACTGAGTCCTTAGCCATCTCTCCAGCCCCTAGCTGGTTTGAATTAGTACATTCCATTGGATTCTGTTTCAGTGTTGTTAAGAATAGCGGCATTCAATTAGTAACTTGTAGTGGCACCCGCCAGTATCAGTTTCCTTACCCCCTGTTGACTCCTCAGTTGGTAGGAAAAGCACCAATTCTAACTCCCCGTGACAACAGAGCCTTACGTCATACCTTGGCTATATGCTCAAGACCTGTGGGCACAGCACAGCTGTGAATTTATCCGAATTTGCCTTCTCTTTTGCTTTTACGAGGGTAAATGCCTCCTCCCCACAGTGTGGATATGCTCGGTGCCCACAAGGGCCCAAAGAGGACGTGGGACCCCAGCAGCAGGAGCTTCCTAGCTTGGTTGCTGAGAACCAAACCCAGACTCAAGTGCTCCTAACCACAAAGCTGTATGTCCAACCCCAAATAAATAAGTTACTTTTCTCTCAGTGGCAACGGTACCCAAAGTTTTATACCATTACCTTTGCATGTGTTCATGTGTGTTTGTGTGTGTGGCGGAGGGGACATCAGCCCTTGGTGGTGTTCCTCAAGGCACCTAGACTTACAGAGTGGGCTAGACTTGCTAGCCAGAAAGTCCCGGGGACCTGCCCAGTCCACTTCCAAAGCTAGGATTACAAGCACATGCCACATGCCCGGCTGGTCTGTCTCTTCAAGCCTGCTTGCAGGATCCCTAACTCCCCTTACGCTGGCCCAGCAGACAGCACGAAGCACCCCTGCCCGGTGACACTTAACCTCCACTACTTACTGGCTTTTAACTGTCCCATTACTTGTCTAAGCTTTGTGCTTATGACTGTGACTAAAGTAGCGCGTCTGCCTAAGGTGAGATACCGCACAGGTACAGGAGTACTACCTGCACTCTACAGCCCTCTTCAAAGGCAGGATAACGTTCTTGAAGCCAGGAGTCACGGCACAAACCCTAAAGCGAGTGCATGGAAGGCAGAAGCAGGTGGCTCTCCGGGTTTAAGCCCAGCGTGTTCTATATAGTGAGTTCCGTGCCAGGCAGGAACATGAGACTTTCTCTCAAAAAAAAAAAAAAAAAGACAAAGTTACTCAGAGCATACTGTATTTTCACACACACACACCCCCTTTAAGTGAACACTGAAGTGGAGTTATAAACAGTTTTTTGACGTGGGTGTACGTGCGCGCGCACGTGCGTGCAGGCGTCCCGCCCGGGAAGCGACTCCACATGGGTGCGGGGAACTGAGCCCAGGCTTTTGCAAGAGCCCTTTGCCTCTTAGCTATGGGGGCCATCTCTGCAGCCGAGAGTCTATTCTTACCCTGACAGAAAGGGGAGAGAAGCTGAAATGAGAGCAGATGAGGAGGAAGACGCACAGGTCTGGCTGTGCTTTAATCAGCTGCACGTGTGTACTCGTTTTCAGTTACGACCACAGAACACAGGTAATAACAAGCTGCAGGAAAGACTCAGCAGAAACCAATCCGTGCTAAATTAAAACAATATGCAGTTTAAAAATACTGACTTTATTCAGAACGAGAAAGTTTAAAATCACACCATTACGAAAGTTTAAAAAAATATAGCACTCAATGCAGTGAAATAGTATATTTAATCATTTTGTAAAGACTTACGGCAGATTCCCGCCAGTTTACATGTGAGAACTTAGCATGATCCAAACTCAACTATCCACTTCTCGTATCTTTCAATGTCGGCAGCCGACACGGACTTAGACACTTTCTTTAAAGCCATTTCAAAATCCTCCATAGTGGTAGGCATATGCATTTCTTCTCTCGAAAGATTTCGTATTTCTTCTGGGGTTAGGCCTTCAATACGTCGTCTCATGGCCATCAAGGATGCATCCCTAGGTTTTAAGATTTTTTCAAAAAGCACAAAGTGTTACTTCGGTTGAAAAAAAAAAAAACTAAGCAAACAAGAACAACAACAACAACAGGTTAAATTCTCTAAAATCGTATATATATTATATGCATACATAATATTGCATTAAACCTTACACTGGAAAACACAGCCTACTCTTAGTTGCTTTTTAGTAGTGCATCTTCCATAATGAAATCAGACAGTAGTCAATTCAAGAAATAAATGCTGAGTATAGTCCAAGATAAAGTAAAAAGGTACAATAAAGAAGTGTGTAATAGGGCTGGAGAGATGGCTCAGCAGTTAAGAGCACTGGCTGCTCTTCTAGAGGTCCTGAGTTCAATTCCAGCACCTACATGGTGGCTCACAACCATCTATAAGTGATCTAATATCCTCTTCTGGCTGCAGGTGTGCATGCACACAGAGCACTCAAACATTTAAAAATTCTCCACATAAAGAAAATGGGGCCAGGCAGGGTTTCCCTTTTCCTCTTTTGGGAATTTCACATCAAGAATGTCTTATAAGCTGGGCAATGGTAGCACACACCTGGGAGGCCGAGGCAGAGCAGGCAGGTATCTGAGGTAGAGGCCAACCTGGTCTACACAGTGAGTTCCAAGACAACCCCGGCTACACTCTTTAAGAGAGAGTTTTATGTAGCCCAGACTGGCCTCAAACTGGCAGTGCAGACACGGATGACCTTGTACTTCTGACTCTCCTGTCTCCACGTCCCGAGTGTTAGGACTGTAGTCCACCACCATATCCTGTGGCTGAGGACCAAATCCAGCAATCGCTTCGCGCACGGGAAACAAGCATTCTACCATCTGAGCCACATGCCCCATTCTTTAACCAAATTCATCCTTAACTGCAGTCACCACGTATGCCGAAGAACAGTAACTTTATTTGCATACATTATCTCTGACCCTCAAGTTCTAAATGATATGCCTACTTAGAAATGAGGAAGCAAGGACTGGAGAGATAGCTAGCGGTTAAGAGCACTTGGCTGTTCTTCCAAAGGACCCCAGTTCAATTCCCAATAACATGGCAGTTCAGGATTGTCTGTAACTCCACTTCTAGGGCATCTGACACCCTCACACAACACACATGCAGGCAGAACACCAATGTACATAAAGTAAAAATAAAATATATATATAAAAAAGCCGGGAGCATTGGCACATGCCTGTAATCCCAGCACTGAGGGAGATAGAGCACTGAGGCAGGTAGATCTCTTTTGAGTTTGAGGCCAGCCTGGTCTACAAAGTAAGTCCAGGACAGCCAAGGCTACAGAGAAACCGTCTCAGAAAGAAGAAAAGAAAGGAAAGAAAGAAAGAGAGAAAGAGGGAGAAAGAAAGAGAAAGAAAAGAAAAAGAGAAGCAAAGACAGACAGACAGACGGATGAGGAAGCAAGCTAGTGTGGTGAAGACCCTCAGACTCAGATTAGGATCATGCCTTGCTGAACCAACTGGACAAAGTCTTATTCCAGTAACAGTGGACACAGTGATTAAAAGACTGTATAACTGTATCCCATGAGTGCATTAAATACACTTTAGTGGTTTCCCATCTAACATTGTAGGGAAACAATGTTTCTTGAACTTGTAGCCTTTTTTTTTTTTTTTTTTTTCCAGTTTTCTGAGACAGGGTTTCTCTCTGTCGCCCTGGCTGTCCTGAGCTCAATTTTGTAGACCAGGCTGGCCTCGAATTCACAGAGATATGCCTGCCTCTGCCTCCCCAAGTGGTGGGATTACTGGTGTGCACCACTGCGCTCAGCTACAAACTTGTAGCTTTCAAATGAACTGTGGAACATCAGATGCAAATATCTTGCCAAAGCCTGTTAACACTAGCTTAAAACCAACTTGTAACCACAGTGTATGGTGGGGCTCTTCAATTTTTTTATAGCTTGGGATCAAACTCTGGGCTTGCACATATTGGGCAAATGCTCTACACATGAGTTATATCCCCTGGCACATGTAGGTCATTTGCCCTAATATAATCACAATTCAAATTTATGCTTACAAAAATGAGAAAAACACACACCTGCACACGTTGGTAATATCCGCACCTGAGTAGCCTTCCATGTTTTCTGCTATGCTTGTAAGATCAACATCATCAGCCAATTCCAGCTCTCGTAGACTTATTCTTAACAGTTCTTCCCTGCCTTTTGCTAATGGGAGAAACATTTGAAACTGTAAGCCTTCAATGGAAACAGTTTTGCTTATTTTGCTCAAGCCTACTTTCTGATAGAGTTTTGAAGATGATCTCATAATATAGCTCAGGCTGACCTTGAATTCACCATCCTCCTCCCTCAGCCAAAGAGTGCCGCATTTACAGGCATAAGTGACCATGTCCATCACAAGCCCACACAGTAGTAAGAATTGTTATCAAGTTATCAAGGCTCCCATGTTCTAGATGTAGCTCAACAGCCACACAAGGAAAGAATATGCATTTGCCCCTTCAAGGAAGAGTAGCATCAAATTAAACTGTAAAAACCACCTGCTGACTGCAGCCCCCATAAGAGAGTCATAATGAAACACCTGATGGTAAAGGAATATAGATTCTCTTCTCGAGACGCCGGCGGAGAGCCTCATCTATATCCCAGGGAAAATTAGTAGCTGCCAGAACCATAACCATTTTGGAAGGGTCATCATTTTCTGAAGCGCCTCCAACACCTGAAAGGGCAAGAAGAAAGAGAGTTACTGAGTGGGATTCATGAACTAAAGCTCAGTTCTTCACAGACTACAAACTGTGCACCGTGATGCAGGGCATGTAGTCCCCGGGCTCCCTGAGACTCACGTGCGTATGTTGCCCAAGGAAAATGAAGTTCTGCAGTGCACAAAAATATGACTCATAAAGGATTTAATGATAACACTAGCCAACTCAATTACGTGCCAAATTATTTTTTCTTTCAATCTCTGGACATGGTGATACATGCCTTACATCTCAGCACTTGGGAGGAAGTGGTGGGCAGATCTCTGTGAGTCTGAGGCCACCACAGTGTACCTAGTCTCAGGACTACCAACACCATGCAGAGAACCTGCCTCAAAGAAGCAAACAAAAACAAACCATCAAGCTGGGTAAATACCACAGTGGGTTAAGTGCAGTGGCTGTTCTTCCAGAAGACCCGAGTTCAATTCCCAGCACCACTGGCAGCCCACAACTCTAACTTCAGTTTCAGGGGGCATGACACCCTCTTCTGACCCTCTCTGGCACCAGATATGCATAAGATGCACAAACATAAATGAAAACAAAATACACACAAAGTATGAAGACATTTTAAAAAGTATTGTAGAGCTGGAGAGACGGCTCAGAGGTTAAGAGCACTGGCTCCTCTTCCAGAGGTCCTGAGTTCAATTCCCAGTAACTACATGGTGGCTCATAACCATCTATAATGAGATCTGGTGCCCTCTTCTGGCCAGCAGGAATACATACAGACAGACCATTATATATAAATAAAAAGAGAGAAAGGAGGGAGGGGAGGGAAAGAAGGGACAGAGGGAGGGAAGAAAGAGAAAGAAAGGAAAGAAAGGAAGGAAGAAAGGAAGGAAGGAAGACACACACTCAGGGAGGCAGAGGCAGGCGGATCTCTGTGAAGTTTGAGGCCAGCCTGGTCTATAAAGAGAGTCCAAGATAGCCAAGGCTATACAGAGAAGCCCTGTCTCGAAAAGCAAAAAAAGTATTTAAGTGTATGTGTATATATAACACTAAGGTCAATTTGTTTGCATTTTATTTCTACTTGAGTTCTGTGGCTAAAAATAAGGGATCAATACTATACCACAGGCTGGTGTGTGGGTGCCATTATTTCTGACATGTATATCCATTTCCGCTGCTGATCTCTATGTCCTAAGTGCCTGCCCCTCTCGTTCACCTGGAGTGTTGAGCACATACTGAGCGTACTGAGCTCGCACTACAAACAGAGCTGACTGCCTGGAAAAGCTTACACAGCCCGCTCCCACCCCAAGCTAATCTATGCACAGACATGTATATACCATCCATTTGAACCAGCAGCTCAGCTTTCACCCTTCGGCTTGCTTCATGCTCTTCAGAAGTGCCTCGGCGGCTGCAGATGGAATCTATCTCATCAATAAATATGGTAGCTGGAGAGTAAAATCGAGCCTAAAGGAAGAAACCAAGCAAAACTTCGGTTTTTGGGTTCTGATTTTTCTTACTTAAAAATAACCTGAGGTTGAGGATACAACCAAGTAATACAGTGCTTGCCCAGTATGTTTACGGCCCAGTGTCAGAGAAATAAGCAATTTATAGATTAGAAACTGGGGCTGGAAAAATGGCTCTGTAGTCAAGAGTACTTGCAACTCCTGTAGAGAATCTGAGCTCAGTTCTGAGCCCCCAAATGGGCAACTTTCAGCCTTTTATAACTCCAGTTCCAGGGGACTGACACCCTCTTCTGGCCTTTGTGATTCCGCACACACATGGTGCAGACACACACAAGGCACTCACCCACACACAGGAAACACAGAGAAACAAATCTTTTAAAGAAACCAGAAAGCAGCTGAAGAGGCTGCCACACTGTACCTTTTCCTCTAGCCTAGTGGAAGAAAAAAAGAGCATGGCATCCTATCTTAAGGATTTTCATAAAATTGTATTTATTTGTGTGCATGCATATATGTGATATAGCAGAGCACTGAGCATTTGTGAAAGCACAACTTGTAGGTGTTCATCCTCTTCCCACCGTGTGGGCTCCAGGGGTCAAATTCCGGCTGACAAGCTTGGTGGCAAGCACCACTGAACATGGTCCATCTTTTTTTTTTATTTGGATAAAGACACTAATGAATCCCAGGTGTCCTCAATGTGCTACGTAGCTGCAGGTGACCTTGAGCTCATTCATACTGCTGGACTTCAGATGCGCACCACCAAACACAGCTCTGAAACAGCTTCAGATAAAAACAGACACCATCTCCTCTCTGTTATATAATTAAATTGGCTCTCTCTCAAAAACTGTGCCTGCGTGTATGTGTCATAAAGACAGGGTTATCGTATACCTTATTAATGATGTGAACTTGGTAGTACATTTAGAGGTATTGTTAGGTATTTTCAAGTTCTCTAGCTTGGTTGAAACCATTTCAATTCCTTTATAGAGTCTAAGAAAAGAAAATCATGTTAGATGACTCCCTTTTTGTTTTTTTTGAGACAGGGTTTTCTTGTCTGTCCTGGAGTCAATTTGTGGACCAGGCTGGCCTTGAACTCACAGAGATCCACCTGCCACTGCCTCCTGAGTACTGGGACTACAATTGTGGACCACCATCGCCTGGCTGGACGCGGTGGGGGAACGCCTGTAGTTGAGGGACAGGAAAAAATATGATAAAAATATACTGTATAACCTCACAGAATATACCATAAAACAGAGGCCTCAACTGAAGGACCAGAGGTTCAGTGTCACCCTCAAACATCGGCAGAGTTTGAAGCCGCCCTGTGACGCATGAGGCTCCGTCTCAAGAAACTCAACCAATTAGCTAGAACAGAGGCCTCACGCACTATAACACACCCACTTTGAGAGATTCTGGAGAAATGAAAACATGTTAAAAAAATTATCTACCTGCCATAGTGGCAGATGCCTATAATCTTAGCATTCAAGCAGATGAGGCAGGAGGATTGCTGTGAATTTTCAGATAGCTAGGACTGACTATATAGCCAAGACCCTGTTTCTAAATGCAAAATAAAAGTGTCATCTCAAGTTACAAAAGAGGCAGAGGGTTAGGTCTGAGGAAAAGCTGAACATGGGCCCTAACTGTAGATTACAAGGACAAGAATGCCAGACTATAGGCTCTGGCCCTTGAGTCAATCAATGTTCATTTGTCATAGCATCCTCTTAGAGTTGCAAAGGGATTTATTTAACACTGGTTAAGGTTTTTACCGAGCAGCTCCAGGAAAGCCAGGAAAGAAATGCTTTTTGATATACCTTTGTAAACCTCAGTATGAAAAACAGGGCTGTAAGTGGAGAGTGTGCTCAAGGTCCTTGGTTTGGAGAAAAGAATGACGCAAGCCAGCTCCTAGGAGGAAGCCTCTTCCCACAGAAGACATCCGTTTACCTCAATATAAAACTCTACAGTTGCAATCACAGTCAATAGCCAGGCAATGGTGATTCAAGCCTTTAATCTCAGCACGTGGGAGGCAGAAGCAGATGGATTTCTGAGTTTGAGACCAGCCTGGTCTACAGAGCAAGTTCCAGGACAGCCAGGGCTACACAGAGACCCTGACTGGAGGGGCGGGAGTAGGACTTAAAACAGTAACAGGCAGCATCAAGCCCCAACAAGTCAGTACTTGTATGGAACAAGTACTTGCTGTTTACTTGCTGTTGTCGCAGAGGTAAACTGCACGTGTTCTTTGTGCCTGTCAGCTTGTGTGTGCACAGGCGCTAAGGGTGACACGCACGTGGAGGCCACAGGTCAGTCTTGGGGGTCTCATCTTAGGTGCTGTCCACCTCCAATTCTGAGATAATGTCTCTCACCGGCCTGGGGCTCAACAATGCCATTAGGCTGGCTTGCCAGCACAGCGCCCCAGGATCTGCCTGTCTTTGCCTGCCCTGATCTGGGATTACAAGTACATACTACTATAAACAGTATTTCTTATGTGAATGGTAGGGATTGATCTCAGGTCCTGACACTGCATTGCATTTTCTCAATTAAGCCATATCCCAAGCCTGTAGACTCTATATTAGTGTCTTCTAAATAAAGAAACGGAGGCTCAGAAAGGGAGGAATCTACTGGCAGTAACAGCTAGGAAAGTGACCAATAAGGAATTGGAACCCAGACATTTTAAGCTTAGTTCTTTTAATTTTGAGATGTAGGCAATACACTTCCCCTTCTCTCAAGTACAGAGAAAATAATTCTTTTCAGAGTTACCAGAGATTCTCCACTAGATTGCTATTGTGCTACAGACTATTAATAAGCCATTAAGACCCCGCTAAAACCTGCCTCCTCCTGAGCTGGGTAGTGGCAGTGCACACCTTTGACCCCACACCTTTGACCCCATCACCCAGGAGGCAGAGGCAGGAAATCTCTGAATTCTCGGCCAGCCTAGTTCTATAGAGCGAATCCCAAAACTCTACAGAGAAACTCTGCCTCAAAAAAACCACAAATAAACAAGTAAATAAATAAATAAGCAAGCAAGCAAGGAAAAATGCCTCCTGGTTTATGAGTGTCAAAGTCCAAAAGGAAGTAAATATAAACCAAAACAGGAAGAAGCTTCCCAGAAAATCGATAACTTGAAATGATAATGTAGCTTGCTTCATTATTAATTAATAATAAATTAATAATTAACGGTTTTTTGAGCTTAGAAAGTATAAGATCTGGGATGGTATCACATGATCACCTAAGACTTTTTCCACTATGATTAAGTATGCATGTCTTCCTCCTCTCCCGGCCTGGCTCTCAGTATCTGAGGGTGCAAGACAAGCTGCCAAGGGAGAAAAGGAATCAATAGTCCAATCTAGTTGATACATCTAACAACAACTCTACACCTAAAGCTCAAGGATACCACATAAGAGGAGACAGAAAGTCCGTAAGAGCCAGAGGACCAGGGGGTGTGCTGTGAGACAGTGTCTTCCAGACATGAAAGGAAAGCCTTACACACCCACAAAATGATAACAACATGGCTGCCTAAATAAAACCTGCACAGCAACACCAGTTAACATGCCAATGTCATCAGTGGAACTCCCCCAAACATCACCCTAAAATAAAGGGCTACAGGCAACTAATGGCTACAGACAGAGGAGAGTCAGGTTTTTTTCAGACACAAACTCCCAACTCCCAACAGGTTATCCAATCCTAAGTGGTCAGCACTAAATATCATATACACATGAGAGAGATGGGGGTGGGAAAGAGAGAGAGAAATGTCTTTGTCACCATGTAATAGTGTAATGCTGTCCTAACATATCATCAATTGCACTAGTTCTTAGAGACAAGACCAAAGGAATCAGTGAAGTTTAACGAAGTCCTTAAAAGGCAGCCAAGTTTAATACGAACACTACTAGCACCTGTAGAATTATATTTTTCCTATTGGCACTAACATTTGTGAGATAACATTAAGAAAAAGAAACTCAAGTTACTGTTCAAAGGTCATGATGGACAGCAAGATGGCACCCATCGGGGTCATCACATGCTCCATTCCCTGACAGATGGGTCAGTCCTAACCTTGGTGCCTCAGAAGCTCTGAGATCAGCAGGGCTATCCTCTCACTCGTCTGTAATCTCCTTAATTTAATATGTAGCTACTTGTTTATTTGGATGTATTTATTTTTTCTTGTGTGTGTGTATGTATGTATGTATGTATGTATGTATACACACACATATATATGCCACTGTCCTGGAACTCACTATGTAGACCAGCTTGGCCGCAAACTCATAGAGATCCATCTGCCTCTGCCTTTCAATTGCTGGGATCAAAGGTGTGCATCACCAAGCCTGGCTTTCCAGCATTCTAAAGTTAAGTATATGCCTAGATTTGCTGATGCATCAAAGACCACCAGACACTTCAGAAATAATAATTTTAAAAAATTACATTAGAAATACAGAAGACAGCCTGTATCTCAAGAAATAAGGAATTTATCCAATGTGGAAATCCAGAATGATCATTGTGGCTGTTTGTCATCAGACAAGAGAATTATCTTTATAATAAATGACTTCCAAAATGCAAAATAAAAAATTGTATCTTAGGGGCTGGAGAGATGGCTCAGTGGTTAAGAGCATTGTCTAGTCTTCCAAAAGACCTGGGTTCAATTCCTAGCACCCACATGGCAGGTCACAACTGTCTGTAATACCAATGAATATCCCCAATTCCAAGGGATCTAACACCTTCACACTAATGCACATAAAATAAAAATTAAATAAATCATTAATACAAAAATTGTATATTAAACAACCTTAAAAATATTCTGCAAAAAGAATGAAATGTAGGAAAAAGAGAGAGAGAGAGAGAGAAACTCAAAATAACAACCAAAGAAAAGAATTCAAACACTGGGTCATTAAACTCAAGGTAGGGGCTGAAGAGATGGCTCAGTGGTTAAGAGTTGTTACTGCTCTTTTGGGCAACTGGAGTTTAGTTCCCTGCACCCACCACAGGCAGCTCACAAACACCTGTAACCCCGGCTACAGGAGATTCAGCAGCCTCTTCAGGTCTCCACAGGCACCTGCACTCATATAGCCTCATACATACACACATACACACACACACACACACACACACACACACGCACACAATTAAAATAAAATCAATCTTAAACTCAAGGTCCTTAGCATAGCTGACAGACTGGAAGTGATCTAAGTTCCATAACTTCTGAAGAGTCTCATCTTTGGCCTGTTAAAACACGGCATTACGATGTCACAAACAGTGTGCTGTTTACCAAACATAATTATGGAGCTGGCAAGATTGTTCAAGCAGATAAAAATCACTTGTTGGACAAGGGGAATTCACATAAGGTGGAAGCAGAGACCCACCCCACATAACTGTCCTTTGATGTCCACTTCAGTTTTGGTGGTACGCATATGTCCCCTGCTCCATCTCATATATATGCATGTACACACACACACACTAAAACTTAAAACAAACCAACTAGCCATAATTAAACTCATAGCACTTAGGAATGCTAAACCCATAGTGTACACACACTCAGAAAATAGCAGATGTGGCTCCACCTCTGGAGGAAAAAAGACAAGCAGAAACCCAGGTCACATGACTATAAAGGATGTGTCAAAGGCACAGAGTCAAGCCTAGGCAGTGCCACCGTCCGTGTAACGGAGAAAGCGGAGTCAAGAGTCTCTGTTGGAGCAGCTCCAAACATTACCATTTCAAACAGGAGCCGAACAAGCTTCTCCGACTCTCCTCTGTATTTGGAAGTCAGGGTTGATGAAGAGATATTGAAGAACGTTGTCTTGCACTCTGTAGCAACTGCTTTAGCAAGCAGGGTTTTTCCAGTGCCAGGAGGGCCAACCATCAACACTCCCTGTAGGGATACAACAGTGTAAGAGAAGACTTCATCTGTCATTGCTATTTCCTTCCCTTTTGACTTTTTGTTTTGTTTTGCTTTTAGGATGATAAAAACAAACCAGGACTTGCGCTCTTGGGCTCTAATGACCACCCTTCCTCCATTCTCTGAAGGAGTGGGACTATCTGTGGCCACCACCTTGTCAGGTACAAGCTTACCCTTGTTCTAACTAATTATACCAAGTACCAAATTTCACTAAATTTATATGTAACACTGTGACAAAGAGCAAAGAGAAAAATGAATATTTCCTAACAATATTTATTCATTTATATAGTGTCTCACTAATTTATCCCTGGCTGTCCTAGAACTCACTATGGAGACCAGGCTGGCCTCAAACTCACAGAGCTCCACCTCAAACTCACTCCTCCCAAGTGCTGGGATTAAAAGTATATGCCATCTCTACTGGCACAAATACTTTTTCTATTACACAAAAGAAAGTTAATAACATTAAAAGTTTGGAACTCAAGAAAAAGAAAACAGGTAATTATTAATTTATTAATCATTACCAAAAGATTAACTGTTAATAATCAATATTTTAAAAAAGCAGATAAATGTTTACTCTTAACCCAGATTGTTTTAAATAGCTCCTTTTCATATCATCCCAGACTTTTCAAAAATACCCACTATGATGCAAAAATATGGCTGAATTTATCAAAAACAATTCCAAAACTACTACAAGTTACGTGAAATGACACATGAAATGCATGAGCCCACTGGGTCATACGTGCAAACAGAAGAAGGTTCTAAGTGTGCTATGTGTGGGAAGAGTGATGCTGAACTGAACGTTGTGCTTTTACTCTGGGAACCTTGCATTAGCTTTTGATCAAAACAAAATTCAAGTAATACAACATCAGATTTTTCTTTACATTTTTTTTCTTCCTCCCTCCCCCCTTTTTTTTTTCTTTAAATATTTTTTTTGAGATCAGGCCTTACTCTAATCTAATCTGTCTTGAACTCACTATATAGTCCAGGCTTACCTCAAACCCAAGGTGATCCTCCTGCTTCAGCTTCCTGAGTGCTAGGATTATAGGCTTAAACTAGTACACCTAGTTTAAAATTTTCCTCATTCCACTTTCTCCACTACAAGTACATAATAGTTCTCCACAGCAGCATTGCCACTTACTTTGATGATACCTATACATACAAACTTACTTTCCATGGTCTCCTAATGCCCTTAAAGAATTCTGGCATCCACATTGGTAACACCACTGCTTCCTTAAGCAACTTTTTAGCTTCCACTAAATCAGCAATATCATCCCTGAAAGAAAAGATACTTTATTAGCCAACCCCTTAGATTATATACCCAATTCTACATCATCAACCTGAAAACCATCACCAGCACAGGTCTCTATGCCACAGACAAAAATGCTCAATCCTTCCTTGAGCACTGGAGAATATATATATATATATATATATGACTGGTCCTACCACACCAATCAGTATATACAAAGGATAACACTTGTCTTTAGCTGCTGGCAGTAACGATTTTCATTTTAACTTAGGAGAACAAAGCTCTCCTTCTCTATGTTGCCAGGTTAGTGTAAAATCTGTGTTGTGATATGACCTAAATCACGGTTTCAGTACCTCCTTAACTAAAAAGCTTGGAGTCATAAATGATTCCGGTTTGGGAATATTTGCATATACTTCACCAGTTAAAGCTGTTAATTTCATCTAAAACTCTCCAAACTTTCTAAGGATAATGGCTTTGCAGAAAAAAACTGTGACTCAGGGCCCTAGGTTGGAGAAAAGAATGCCACAAGCCAGCATGTAGGAGGAAGTTCTTCCCCCAGAGAAAAGTAGATTAACTCTACATTTGAAAATGTATCCCATGGCGAGAGTGGTGCGCACCCTTAACCCAGCACTCAGGAGGCAGAGACAGATGGATCTTTGAGTCTGAAGGCAGTCTAGTCTACAGAGCAAGTTCCAGGACAGCCAGGGAAATATAGAGAAAACTGTCTTGGGGAAAAAAAAAAGAAAAAAGGAAATGTGTCCAATAACCAAGTGGTGGTAGCACATAGCTTTAATCCCAGCACTCAAGAGGCAGAGGCAGGTGGACCTATTGAGTTCCAGGCCAGCCTGGTTTACATGAATTCTATACAGAGAAACCTTGTCTTGAAAAGCAAAAAAATGTGGATCCCGGTGCATTTTTAGACTTCTGATTTTCAGGTTGCATTATCACAGATGGCATTTTATCTTTTTTTTAAATATGTGCTTTGGTGTTTTGCCTGCATGTATGTCTGTAGGAGGGTGTCAGATCTTGGAGTTACAGACAGTTGTGAGCTGCCGTGTGGGTGCTGGAATTTGAACCTCTGCAAGAATAGTCAGTAACTCACTCCAGCCCCAGGCAACTCATATTTCATAAAGGCTTAGAAGAATGGTCATTAAAAATACTAAACAGGGCATGCAGCAAAGACAGCTGCTATGCTTCTAACTCCAGTAAGAGGCAGATGCCAAAGTGAAAAGAATCATCAACATCATTATGAAGTTCTCCCCAGCCACTAGACTACCTACCAGGACTTCTGGCTAGTGTATGTAGCAACTTTATTATGAAAACAGATTTTATTTTTATAAATACCAATTACTAAAAGTATTTCAATATTATAAAAACACTCATTAACCATCTATATTTTAATAGAAAGTATGTAACGGAATGTAATTATATAACTTGTGGAAGCATGAGCTTCTACAGATCCCCTAAATTTACCCTGCCTATAAGACGTGCAGGAATAAAGATAGAGCAAGGATTGAGGGAACGACCAACCAATGACTGAGACCCACCAATCTGAGACCCACCCCATGGGCGAGAGCCAACCCGACACTATTAATGATGCTCTGCTATGCTTGCGAGAGGCAACAGCAGCAGATCAAAATAGATGCTGAAACTTACAGCCAAATATTAGGTGGAGCTTGGAGAGTCTTGTAGAGGAGTAGAGGGAAGGATAGAGGGACCTGGAGGAGACAAGAACTCCACAAGAAGACCAACAGAGTCAACTAACCTAGGCCCATGGAGGCTTAAGCATCAACCAAAGAGTAACCAAAGAGTCTGGATCTAGGACCCCTACACATATGTAGCTGAGGGGCAGCTTGGTCTTCATGAGGGTCCCCTAACAAGTGGAGCAGGGGCTGCCTCTGACACGGATTCCACTAGGCAATGGATCGCACTTGGGGATCACTCTCCTTGCTGGGCTGCCTTGTCTGGACTCGTGGAAGAGGATGCACTTAATCCGGAAGTGACTTGATGTGCTGGGGCGGGCTGGTAAGGGAGGGGGGAGGCTCCCCTTTTCTGAGGAGAAGAGGAAGGGGAAAGGGGAAAGAAGGTGGAAGGGTGGGACTAGGAGAAAATGAGAGGGCTGCGAGCGAGATGTAAAAGTAAGAAATAAATAGAATTTTTAAAAAGATATAGATCTTTTATTAGATGTAAAGTTGAGAATCGTGAACTAATAACAAATCAAAGCAATATCTACCACAAGCTATACACCTAAACAAGATGCATGCCTTAAAAACCTCTACGTAGGCTCAGAGGTTAAGAGCACTGGCTGCTCTTCCAGAGGTCCTGAGTTCAAATCCCAGCAACCATGTGGTGGCTCACAGTCATCTACAATAAGATCTCATAACCTCTTCTAGTGTGCAGGCATACATGCAAACAAACATTGTATACATAATAAATAAAAAAATCTTTGAAAAACAAAACCTCCATCTCGGGTTGGTTGGGCGGCTCAGTGTGTGCAAGTGGTTACTGTACAAGCCTGAGGGTCTGACCCTCAGAACCCACAGAGACATGGGAGAGAACCAAATCCACAAAGTCGTCCTCTCAAACCTGTGCCACAGCAGTGCTCTGTCCCATCCTAACACACACCATAAAATTTCAAAACAAACAACAGAAACTGCAATCTTTTCAACACTAGAAAGGGCTCAAAAGATGAAATCTGTGTTATCTTTGTCCCACTTTGTATATGACATATTAATCTGAAAGAATCTCCAGGGGCTGGGGGTATTAAATTGGCAGAGAACTTGCCTCACATGTATGAGGCACCGTGTTCAATACTTAATATCACACACATAAACAAAAACAAAATAGAGGCTGGAGAACTGGCTCAGTGGTTAAGAGCACTGGCTGCTGTTGCAGAGTGCCAGGTTTGGTCCCCAGCACCAACAGAGCAGCTCAAAGGCATTTACAACCACAGTTGTATGGGATGCCATGCCTACTTTCCTCCAAAAGCACTGTCCACATATGACACAATGACATGCATGTAGGCAAACACCTGTACACGCAAAATGCAAACAGACTTAAAACTACGCAGACTAAAGTCTGGGTTATATAGCTCAGTTGGTTCAGTTCTCGCAGAGTCCTCACTATCACCACACACGCTGTTCATGGCAATGTGTGTCATCTCAGTAGTCAGTTAAGAGGACTGAGATTCAATGCTATTCTGGCTACATAGCCAACGTGAAGCCAGCCTGATCTACAAAGAACCCTGCCTTAAACAACAATAAGAGGTCAAAGTGTCACTATTCGTAGATGATATGATAGTATATATGAGCGACCCCAAAAACTCAACCAGAGAACTCCTCCAGCTAATAAACACCTTCAGCAAAGTGACAGGATACAAAATCAACTAAAAAAAAAAAAAAAAAAAAAAATCAGAAGCCCTCCTGAATACCAAAGACAAAAGGGCCGAGAAAGAAATAAGGGAAACAACACCCTTCACAATAGCCACTAACCACATAAAGTACCTTGGAGTGATACTAACCAAGGAAGTGAAAGACCTGTTTGATAAAAACTTCAAGTCTCTGAAGAAAGAAATTGAAGAAGATATCAGAAGATGGAAAGATCTCCCGTGCTCATGGATAGGTAGGATTAACATTGTGAAAATGGCCATCCTTGCCAAAAGCAATCTACAGATTCAATGCAATTCCCATCAAAATACCAACTCAATTCTTTACGGACCTTGAAAAAAAGATTCTCAGCTTCATATGGAGAAACAAAAAACCCAGAATCTCCAAAACAATCCTGAATAACAACAGATCATCTGGAGGTATCTCCATCCCCAATCTCAAGCTATACTACAGAGCAATAAAATAAAAACTGCATGGTATTGGCGTAGAAATAGAAAGGAGGATCAATGGAACTGAATAGAAGATCCAGAAATAAACCCACACACCTATGAATACTTGATTTTTGACAAAGCAGCCAAATCCATTCAATGGAAAAAAGACAGCATCTTCAACAAATGGTGCTGGTCCAACTGGATGTCTACATGCAGGAAAATGAAAATAGATCCACATTTATCACCCTGCACAAAACTAAAGTCCAAGTGGATCAAAGACCTCAACATTAAACCAGATACTCTAAATTGGTTAGAAAAAAAAGTGGGCAACAGCCTAGAACTCATTGGTACAGGAGACAACTTCCTGAACAGAACACCAACAGCACAGGCTCTAAGAGCAACAATCAATAAATGGGACCTCATGAAGCTGAAAAGCTTCTGTAAAGCAAAGGACACCATCATCAAAACAAAACGACTGCCTACAGATTGGGAAAGAATCTTCACCAACCCTTTATCTGACAGAGGGCTAATATCCAGTATATATAAAGAAATAAAGAAGCAGAAAAGCAACAAACCAAGTAATCCAATTAAAAAATGGGATACAGAGATAAACAAGAATTCTCAATAGAGGAATATCGAATGGCAGAGAAACACTTAAAGAAATGCTCAACATCATTAGCCATTAGGGAAATGCAAATCAAAACGACCCTGAGATTTTACCTCACACCCATCAGAATGGCCAAGATAAAAAACTCAAGTGACAACACATGCTGGAGAGGTTGTGGAGAAAGGGGAACCCTCCTCCATTGCTGGTGGGAATGTAAACTGGTACAACCACTTTGGAAGTCAATCTGGCGCTTACTCAGACAATTAGGAATAATGCTTCCTCAAGACCCAGCTATACCACTGCTAGGTATATATATACCCAAAATTTGCTTAAGTACAGAACAAGGACATTTGCTCAACCGCGTTTGTAGCAGCTTTATTTGTAATAGCCAGAACCTGGAAACAACCCAGATGTCCATCATCGGAGGAATGGATACAGAAATTGTGGTATTTTTACACAATGGAATACTACTCAGCAATCAAAAATGAGGAAATCATGAAATTTGCAGGCAAATCGTGGCATCTAGAAATGATCATTCTGAATGAAATATCCCAGAAGGAGAAAGACAAACATGGTATATATTCGCTTATATAGACCTACAAGATATAATAAACATAATGAAGTCTATACACCTAAAGGAGATAAACAAGAAAGCAGACACGAGGTAAGATGATCAATCCTCACTTAGAAAGACAAATGAGATGTGCATTGGACGTATGAAAGGAATCTACCACAGAAGGCATCTGAAAGACCCTACCAAGCAGCGTTTCAAAACAGATACTAAGACTCATAACCAAACCTTCGGCAGAAGGGGAGTTAGTATAACAGGGGAAGGATAGGAGCCCCACAAGGACCAAATATATCTGGGCACAGGGTTTTTTTTCTGAAACTGTTTCTCCAACCAAGGATCATGTATGGATACAACCTAGAACCTTTACTCGGACGAAGCTCGTGGTAGCTCAATAACCAATTGGTTTCCCGTAGTAAGGGGAACAGGGACTATCTCTGACAGGAACTCAATGACTGGCTCTTTGACTCCCCACCCCCCAAGGAAAGAACAGTTCTGCTAGGCCACAGAAGAGGACTTCGCAGCCAGCCCTGAAGATACCTGATAAAACAGGGCCAGATGAAAGGGGAGAAGGTCCTCCCCAGTCCGTGGACTTGGAAAGAGGCAGGGAGAAGCTGAGGGAGGGAGGATGGGATTGGGAGGGAATTGGGGAGCGGGATGAAGCTGGGATGCAGAGTTGATAAAATGTAAATAATAATAACAAATAATAATAATAATAATAATAATAATAATAAAACCCCTCAAGAGCACATACTGGCATAACCTCAATGGAAATCAGGTTTTCACTGTATGTATTGCTTACACAGTATATCCTCTAGTTCTTCCCCAATGGCAGATCTTTAGCACATGCCCATTTTGTCTTCATTTCTGCTTCCAAAACCATCAGCTCAGTTAGCTTGTGATATGACTTACCATCGAACGTTGGGATTCTGAGAAATTATATCTCTTTCCAAAGCTTCCACTAAGTCCTTGTCATATCCAGTGCTATCAAACTTACTTGCCTCTGGTTCTGTAACTGCAGCAGGTGATTTGTTCTATATGAGGAGATAAAAAAAACAAAAGTTTTTAATTGACTGAAAATTTGTATTTTGTTTGTTGGCACAAGAACATGTATACACGCACACACACAAATTTTTGGGAGGGAAGGGGGTCCCTCTTTGGTTGCCCTGGAACTCACTATGTAGACAAGGCTGGACTAAACTCAGAAAATCACCCCGAGTGCTAGGATTAAATGCACGTGCCACCACATATGGCTTCAAATTTATTTTAAAAGGGAAACTCCCCATAAAACCCAATGACACCCAAAGGCTTCCTGCCTGGTGAACGGAAATCTTACACATACAGTGAAGAGTCTGCAGCTGTGGCAAACCAGCACCTGAAATGTGTTCAAGTCTTGATTTCTAAGGTTAACAAATGACTCACTTAAAAACATTCTGTTTTAGTGGGCATGCTGGCACAGGCCTGTAATCCTAGCACTCAGGGAGGCAGAGGAGGGTGGATCTTTGTGAGTTCAAGGCCAGCCTGGTCTACAAATCCAGAAAAGCCAAGGCTACGTGGAGAAACCCTGTCTTGAAAAATGAAAACACAAAACAACAAATAAACAAAACAAAAACAACAACAAAAAATCCCCAACATTTTGTTTTGAGGGAAGCTGGAGAGATGGCTCAGACTAAGAGCACTGGCTGCTCTTCCAGAAGCTCTGAGTTCAATTCCCAGCAGCTACATGGCACCACAACTGTCTGTAACTGTAGTCCCATGGGATCTGACACCCTCTTCTAGCATGCAAGTGTACACGCAGACAAAACATTCATATACATAAAATAAATTTTAACAAATTGTTCTCCTTTGTTGTTGGTGTGTGTGTTTATGTGTGCAACCGCCTACAGGGACCACAAGAGGGTGTGGGATTCCCCAGTCGGAGGAACAGGATGCTGTACGCTCCCCATGCGGGTAACAGACTCTAACTCAGGAAGAGCAGCAGGTGCAGCTTGACCGGAGCCACCTCTCCAGGCCCAGCCTTCACTTTGAAGGCTGTAACACTTACCTTTTCCTCTCTTCCTTTGTTCTGTTCTTTCTTTTCACGACTACGAACAGCTTTCCCTCTGTCATTGTGAAGATTCTGTGCAGATGGACGATGGGCTCTGATGACTGCGCCTGGACGGTTACTGTGGGGTTTAGGGTCACTGTACTGAGAAGACTGGCGTTTCCTAGGTCCTGGTGAGGGTCTAAACAATATAAGATCGTTAAAATTATAATCAAATCCTGAAGGAGCCAGGCATACACAGAGAACTAACGAAGTCAAGGCAAAAACGGCACACTGCATGATAACAAATTTCAGGATGCTGAACCCCAGGATCTAAAATTTAAATCTGACATAGCTGCTATGGTCGGTGACAGGAATGCAGGACTGTCATAGTTTACAATGAAAGGAAAGTCACTTCCACTGAGGACACCCCTGTACTACAAGCAAAGTCTGAGAAGTGAAAGAGAGGAATTATCAGAGAACACTGTTCTACCAGAGCCACCAGAACACAGTGCAAATGCTGTTTCTTCTCTCCACAGCTACAAATGCAGTCGCTGTGATTTACTGAGAGTATATCATAATTTTCGTTGTTTAACTAAAAGTTTTAATAATCACCCCATTCTAAGACTAGGATGAAAACTGGGTATCGTAATATGTGCCCTTTAATTCCAGCATTTGAAGGACAGAGGAATGTGGATCACTGTTGAGTTAGAGGCCAGGCATACACAGCAAGTACCATGCCAGGGCTACATAGTGAGACCCTGTTTCAAAAGGGGGGAAAAGTGATTGAAGAGATGGCTTAGCAATTAAGAAAAATTGCTGCTTTTGTTGAGGATCTGGATTTTCAGTTCCCAGGATCCACACAGTGGCTCCCAACCCTCTGTGATTCCACTTCCAGGATCCAATGCCTGCTTCTAGCTTCTGCAGGCACCAGATATAGACATATACACATGCAGACAAAACACTCCTACAAATAAAGTAGGAAAATAAAAATAAATACTGGTGGGAATTATGTCTTATGCCTATATATAACCCACTCATTTCATTTTTATTTCAGGAGAATTTAGACCTCCATATTTATTGGCTCTCTGATCTATGTAGGATAAATAAAAACACAGAAAACCCAGAAAGAACAAAATGGAAAAGACCTATTCTCAAGTGCCTCAGGGTCTACTTCAACATGAAGAAGGTATGTTACTTCAAGTCAGTGCACCTTAGTTGTTTTCAATATAGAAAAACATGGCTTATTGGAAGATTTATTATGAGAAACAAATGATCCATACAACCTAGACAATACTCGGAAATCCACAGGTGCTCAATATGAAGATCCAGTTTTTACAAAATACAATTAAAAATTAAAAAAAAAAAAAAACAATGACAGAATACCTAAACTGGGCCATATCGTAGTGCAAGGGTCCCAAATCAGTTAGGAGAAAACGAATCACGTCATAGTGTTCTTTCCAGACACCTGAAACATTCATATATTTAAATCCATGATACAAAAAAGAGATTATGTGAAACAGGTAATGGACATCTACAGTACACCTGTCACTTAAAGAGTGTGCTGTGGAATTAAGCATGATTAGCTGGGAACAGAATTTTAGTAAACAGCAATTTCATTGACTGTTTTTGTTTTGTTTTTTTGTTTATTGAGACAGGGTAGTCCTGTGTTGTCCTGCTATCCTGGAACACCCTCTGTAGACCAGGCTGGCCTTGAACTCAGAGATCCACCTGCCTCTGCCTCCTGAGTGCTAGGATTAAAGGTATGTGCCTCCACCATCTGGTATCTGCTTGATTATTCATTTGGCATCACTTGGTAGAAGAAAGCTAGGGTTAAAAATGCCAGAGAACACCAAGCAGGGTAAAAAACCTATCAGTCTAACTCCCTCAACTTAAGAAAAAATCTGAGTTCTAGACAGTTTTCCAGTTTTGAGAGTGGAGACCTCAGTTCACAGATGCCCTCAGTCCCCAAGACAACGAGTCTGCAATTTTCAGCCCATGCACCAAAGCCTAATTCTGGCAAATTTCCACCTAAACTTGATACACATTTAGACAATTCTAAATTCTAAACTTTCCTCCTAACCCCATCCCAGCAGCCCAGTGCTTCTCCCAGAAATGGGCCACGGCTACAGCTGTGAGTTTCTTGGGTTAGTAGTTTTGTTAAGTCTCCACTTACCTTCGTTCAACTGGTACAGGCAAGGACCAGACTTCTCCTTCAGAGGCCGGAAGCTCCTGCTGAGCAGCTTTCAAAGGGGTGCTGTCCAGTTTAAAGCTCTCGAGTGTTTTCATGATATCCTTAACGTGCTTAGCTTCCACATTTATTTCCTTCCAAACCTGGTTTCAAAGAAAATTACTCTAAATGTCCTTAATCACTGCCGTGATTAAATTGTTTCCTATGTCAGTAGCCTCCACTTCGACGATAGCCAACAGACATCAAAAGTCTTCACAAAACTGCAACGATTTTTAAATTTTCTGTTTTCAATTACAAAATTAACTCTGAAAGAATGATTTAAAATGCTGTCTATGGGGGCTGGAGAAGTGTCTCAGAGGACAAGAGGCTGCTGGGGACATGAGTTTGATTCTCAGTACCCAGAGCGAGCTCACTAACAACTGTGACTTCAGTTCCAAGGGGTCTAATGCCCTCTCCTGGCCTCACTGGACAGTGTATGTACCTTTTACACAAACACACATACAGGCAAAACACTGAAACACATAAAATAAAAGTAAATCTTTTAAAACAAATCCTGGCTAAATTGCTACCCACACAATTCTTACTAAACTATAACAATTGAACTTTCCATTTTGGCAAAACGAAACTTTAACTAAAGTTGCCCTTTGATGGTTTACTATTTAATTAACTGATTTTGATCTTTAACCAAGGTCCCATGAGTATTGTACAGCGGCCTCAAATTCACCATCCTCCTGCCTGAGCCTCCAAAGCGCTGGGGCTGCAGGCATGCACCACCATGCTGGGCTTAGTCAATGTTTAGAAGCACGGTCAAATTCCATTCTATGGAATAATGGTACAGCACTCTGAATGCATTTAACACTGCTGAACTATGCATTTAAAGCAATTTATTTATTTTTAAAGTATATTTCCTTCCTGGTAACATAAACATGGAGAATCAGATTTAAGGAAAGTTCCTTCCAGAGAGAGGCTAGTGCTGCCCAAGCATTGCAGGCAGATGTGGTCTGCATTTAGACAGTACCCAGGAACAAGTACTTTACCCAAGCTCAGCTCAAAAGGACCACTAATTCTAGGACATTCTCCCTCTTACGACAGCTGAGCCTGCTAACTGCTCCCCTGAACCAGATTTGTGAGTTCCACGGTTTCCAACTGTAAATTTTTTTGGTCCTCAGTGTCTAAAATTCCTTAACTGGTATTCAAATATATCAGCTTTGTGAAGTTCTATGGGAAAAAGGTTCTTGAAGACATCTGCTGTCATTTGCCGTTTCACCAATGTCTTCATCACGTCAACTGTGGGGCCTGGGTCTGTTGGTGCCTGCCATTAACCCTAGGAGTAGGCAGGCAGAGGCAGGAGGATTGAATATGAGGCTATCACAGCCCACACAGCAGACTCCAGGATAGCCAGGGCCACGGAGTGAGAAAACCCCACCTCAGAAACAAGAAGGAGGAAAAGAAAAAGACCTACTTTAAAACTACTATTAGGTAGCAATAATTAGAATAATGAAGTAGCCTTAACGCTGTTAACGGTAAACAGATGTTGCTCACTGTGATGGCTTTTCTTGGTTGTCAACTTGACTACATCTGGAATTAACTAAAAACCCAAGTCACTGGACACACCTGTGAGGATTTTCAGTTAATGGGGTCATTTAAGGTGGAAGAAGACCCACCCCAAATCTGAAGCTTCTCATGGAAGCCTACACAAAGGAAAGAAAGAAAAGCTCTTGTTCCTGGCCTGCTTAACCTCATTCTCGCTTTCCTGGCTTTAAAGCCTACTTCTTCAGAATTCCAACATATACTTTAGACCAGCAGAACTATCCAGCCTTGTGGACAGAACAAACTACAATGTCTGTTGACTTTCTATTAGAGACAACGGTTGTTGGACTAGCTGAATGGCAGACTGTACGCCACCCTAACAAGTCCCCTTTTACACGCATTTCCTTCTGCCAGGTCTGTCTCTCTAGAGAACCCTGACTAACACACTAATTATAGCATCCCAATAACACTATATAAAACCCATGTAATAAAACTACACTCGCTGAAGCCTGCTGGTGGCGCACACCTTTAATCCCAGCACGAAGGAGGCAGAGGCAGGTGAATCTGTGAGTTTGAGGTCAGGCTAATCTTCAGAGCTAGTTCTAGGACAGGCAAGGCTACACAAAGAAACCCTGTATCAAAAACAAAACAAAAAACACCAAAAAAATTAAATAAACACAATAATACTATACTCTCTGAATGTGTGTTCAGCACTGAAAGTTAATCTAGATTTCTGAGTATTAAACGCTATAGCCATGATTCTTACCTGTTGCCATTTCTGCTGGAGGTATGTATCTTTGACTGAGTATAGATACTTGTTCATTTGGTCAAGAACTCCCTGATAATAGACCATTGCAGAGTCATAGTTTCCCAGCAATGCATATTCACGAGCCAATTTTACATTCTCACTAATCATTAGAAGACTCATGCTCATATGTAAGCTAAGAAAAGAAGAAACAAACATTTTCATGTTATACATCTCTTAAAAATAATTACAAAATTTCTTTAAAAAATATAGTTTGCAGGACTCCTTTAATAAGAAAGTTTACAGTGGGGCTAGTGAGACCATTCAGATGAGCCAACTTTAATCCAAGAAACCCAAGTAAAGGTGAAGCCAGAAAACCAAGTCCACAAGGCTGCCCTGACGTCCACGGATACAGACCACAGTACATACTTGCCCTGCACTGACAAAATAACATTTTTAAATAATTCACTTATTTTATGTGTAATGAGTACTTTGCCCCGAAGTATGTCTAAATACATGTATATGCAATGTGTGCAGAGGGCAGAAGACGGTGCCCGACACTCTTGAGGGAGATGGTTGTGAGTGTTGGTGTTAAGAATTGAATCCAGGCCCTCTGGAAAAATAACTAGTGCTCTTAACCACTGAGTCATGTCTCCAGTCTGAGCAAGTAATTTTTAAGAAAATTAAGTTGACAGCTGGGTGTGGTGGCACACGCTTTCAACCCCAGCACTCAGGAGGCAGAGGCAGGCAGATCGCTGTGAGTTCAAGGCCAGCCTGGTCTATAAATGGAGCCCAGGTCAAGGCTGCACAGAGAAACTCTGTCTCAAACAAACAAACAAAATTAAGTTCACAATAACACACATGACACCATGATATTCACTCCTATAATTTCCATCTAAAGAAACATCTCGGGACTTGGAGATAAAGTTCAGCCCAGCACTGGATTGCTGAGCATGCACAAGGCCCTTGCTTCAATGCTCAATAGCACACAGACACATCAACAACAACAAAACAAACAACACAACTTGTGCTGCAGACAGAGTATAGACATAAAGCACTCACAAGACCCGGCCTTGGCTTCAAATTATAGTACCATCAAAAATAAAACCTGTACGTACGTACAAACACGCATCATTTTAGCTCCCACAGCTGAGCCACACCTTCAAGCTTCACTCAGACATTATTTCTTAGGCTGTCTACCTCCGTTCAAAACCAAGATTGACCCCTGTCAGCCCTGTGGCATCTGACAGGAATGCCCATCTCCAGACATTGTCCATGGTTGCTGTGCACTCATGTCTAGCAGACCAAGCTCGCTGAGAGCAGAGTGTACACGTGAAATGGGTAGGACTGGGCCTTCAGTGCACAACACACGTTTTCCTACACATCTACAGAGCTAATGCTCACTGCTTGGCATAGTTCTAAGAAGTACAACAAATCAGCAGGTAGTACATGTGTTTTGAAGTTAGAAAAACCTTGGTTAAAATTATAACTCTGCCATCTTGGTTAAGCCCGTGATATTTCTTCCAAGTCTCAATTGTTAAATTTACTAGGACAGCAATGACTTCCAAGGGTTACACAACCTGTACAAAGTGACTAGGCAGGGGTGGTTAGTAGGCAGCTCCCGGGTAACTGAAGCAGCAGGATCACAAGTTTGAGGCTAGCCTGGGACACACAGCAAGTTCAAAGTGAGCCTGAGCAGCTCAGTCAGACCACATCTCTGAGTAAACATTAAAAAACAAACAAACAAACAAACAAACAAAGTGGATGCTGAGGATATAGGTCAATGGGGGAGCACTTGGCTAGTACTCATGAGGTCCTCAGTATAAAGTAGATAAATAAAAATAAGTAACTTGGGGCCAGGCACGATGGCTTTTGGGATACAAAGGAGGATCCTGAGCTGGAAGCCAGCATGGGCTAGTGGTCATACTACTCCGAAGACAAGTATGTCATGTCTTCAAGAAAAGTCTCTGCACATGAGAACTAGGCTATCTGCATTTAGCAGGACACAGATATGTGGAGATGGACATAAATGAAGACTAGAAGCAGGCACTGATAAAGGCCAGCTCTCTTCATGGTAGCAGTGACCGCTGTTCTGTCCTGGACAGGTAACAACGGAAGATAGCTGGAAGGATCTGCATGATCCGAGGGGAATGAGGGCGGTGGCCAGGAGAAAAGCGAGTCTGCACCACTGCAGGGAAGAACTGCTGGCTGCGTGGAAGTCCCCTATACACAGGAGCAGCAGTTTAGGTCTGGGGAAGTACCAAGGTGACAAGAAAAGAGGAGAGGGAAGTATGAGGGAAACGAAACGATTTTTACTCCTTTTGTCATCAGTAGACTATCCCAATGGGAGCTCTTGCGCAGTAATGGAGGTTTACAGGGCTGGAGCATAGCTCAGTGGTTAAGTCACTGACTGCTCTTGCACACTCACAACTGTCTGTAACTATAGTGTCAGGAGATCCAACATGCACATGGTGCATGCATGCACACTCAGGCACACACACATTCCCACAATACAAACACTAAAGCCAGGGAGCTTCTCTGTGTGGGACCCGCCCAGCTTAATCTGTGCACGCTACCCACACTAACGGTGCTTCTTGACTCATCATGTCACCATGGTTAACGCCAAGTTAAATGGTGATTTTTTTTTTTCTTTTTAGTTTTTTGAGACAGACTGGCTTAGAACTTATTATTTAGCCCAGGCTGCCTCTAACTGGCAATCCTCCTGCCTCAGCCTCTCAAGTGGTAGGAATACTAGCATGTGCTACCATACCTCACTAGAGAAAAGACAATCTTTCTTATTTTCTTTACTTTTGGACAGGACTTCTTTGGGGAAAAAAACAACAAAACATGTCAGATAATGTCTCCAGTATAATTTTAAGTAGAATGTTTGATCAGTGGGCAAAAATGATGGCGGTGGGGAGGCATCTGGGGAAGCAGTGAGACTAACCACGCCATTGGATGACCAAGATTTTCTGCCAAGTAGCCAATTATGGGAAGCAACAGGAATGTCAGCTGGGGAACGAGCAAAATGAACTCTCTTTACCAGACCACATGAGGCTAGGACTGTGTCTACAGAAAAGCCCTGGTGGGAGACAGTGTCACCTCAGCTGGAGAGAAAGCATGGCAGGGTCCCGCCAGCCTCAGGCTTCCATTCTCTCTTATCCCTCAGTCCTCACCCTTTATCCATCCTGAGTTACAACTACCGATCCTCTTCTGAACTAGGTTGTCCTGTGCTGTGTGTTAGCTACTGTGTTAGAATCATCAAACTCAAAATCTTTCATCTAATTATCAGACTCAACTTCTAAGCACAAGAAAAAGACAAGAAGCGAAGACAGATGCCAGCCCCCTTTTGAGAGCCAACCCTCGGGAGCCACAGGCAGTTAAAAGAAGGGTGATAGACCCAGCACCAAGAACATTCTGAAAACCAGTGCGATGACAGGACTGGGTCCTGGTGTGCAGGAGGAGGAACAACAGCCCCTAAGGAGAGAGAGCTAATTGAGTTTTCTCCAGTCCACCTCCCTGCAACCTGGTTCCGAGGCCCTCAGCTCAGCACAGGGCAGAAGAGCAGCAGTGCGGTCTGTGCAGACCAGACAGCAGGCACCGCAGTGTGGAGCTGGTGAGAACACAACAACCGATCAGGCTCACTCTCTGGTCTTCCTCTTTACTCACCTCAGCTAGAAGGATGGCAGCTAAGAAAGCTAATTCTCAGAGAACGGTGGGTCCTGCCTGAAGACCTTAAGCACACAGCATCAAAATGATAGGGTGGAGCGAATACCAAGGAAGGAATGCTCTACATCCAGAACTGTAAAAAGAGCAAACATGACCAGCAGCTACCAACTCAGGGACCTGGAAAAAGACTAAGAGCAGGCTAAAGATGTAAGAAAACATGCAAACAAGTAAATGGCTAAATTCAATAAAAACAAAGAAACAAAGAAAATTCCCCAAATTGGAAAAGAATTATAAAGCCTGAATCTTTGAAAAACTGAAAACAATTCTTTGATATGATTCTGATTATGAAAAAACAAAAAGTTGTATAAGCAAAACAAAAATAAGTAAAAATACAGATACAACACAATTTAAGATGAATGGAAATAATATTTTTTTCTTTCACTGTTTAAAAAATAAAATTTTAGGGCTGGAGAGATGGCTCAGTGGCTAAGAATACTGTCTGCTCTTCCAGAGGTTCTGAGTTCAGTTCCCAGCAACCACATGGTGGCTCACATCCATTTATACTGGAATCTGATGCCCTCTTCTGGCATGCAGGTGTACATGAAGATAACGCAAACATTCATAAGGTAAATAAATATTAAAAAAAAATTTAGCCAGGGACGGCAGTGCAAATGCCTTTAATTCAAGCACTATAAAAACAGAGGCAGGCAGATCTTTGAGTTTACAGCCAGCCTGGCCTACATAGCAAGCTCCAAGACAGCCAGGACTACACAGGAAAACCCTGTCTCAAGACAAAACCAAACAAAAATCAGAAGTTTAGGATGGCTTTTAGTGTGGGAGGGGGAGGGGGATGAGAGAGTGGCGTAGGGTGACCACAGACTATAATTCTTCCTAGTGCTCTCCTCCTTCCTAAGCCAGGGCTCACTGACTGGCTAGCTTGGCTAGCCTGCAGCTCTCTGGGCTCCTCCTGTCTCTGCCTTCCCAGTACTAAGATTACGGGCATGTGATCCCCAACCAGATTTTCATGCTCACCTGGCAAGCACTTTACCAACTGAGCCATCTCCTCAGCCTCGATGGGTACGTTTTACCTGCCTTCTAAACAGTAAGAATTCCAGTTACAGCAAAGTTGATAAAGAAAACAAGGGAAAACTGACCCCTCTTATTCTCTTGGCTCCTGCTGGTGTAAGCCAGGGCTTTGCACGCCTTCCACATTCTACTACTGAGCTATATCCCCGGCCTTCTGACCAACTCTTCTTATGGGTTTCAATGCTGAAACTGAGTGAAAACAACATGAGGCACATTTCACTGAGATAGCTAAACACCCGGTAACCTTCAATGAATGCGAGAGCGCACACACACGCGCACAAACTCACTCACACACACGCACACACTCACTCACTCACTAGGATCTAGAAGGGTTTAGACCAGGAGTATAAGGATAACATCAGAAAAATCTATCACTATAACTCCTTACACTAAAGGACAAAGCACTTTACACAAAAATGGGTAAGGAACATAAAAATTGAGTCGCAAAAGGGAAATTCAAATGTCTAACAAGTATGGGCACGAGTAAGCGATCCTTTTACATCTAGGAGACTTAAAATACAGCAAGTCTGGGGCTGGAGAGATGGCCCAGTGGTTAAGAGCACTGTCTGCTCTTCCAGAGGACCTGGATTAGGATCCCAGCACCACAGCAAGCATCTCACAACTGCCTGTAACTCCAGTTTGGGGATTCTAACATCCCCTGCCTCCACAGACACCTGCCTGCAGGTGGTACACATGAACTCATACAGGCACATGCCTATACGCATAAATGAAATGCAGCAAGTTCAATAATGCTAGAGATGAGCAGGGATTTAGGGAGACAGGAACCCTCACAATTTGTAAGAATAAAGAACAATCTGGAGACACTTAAGGATATCCATCTATATCTGTATACGTGAGTAACTCTAGAGAAAGCCTCACAATGATTCATAAAGGGGCTTGGTTCTAGATGTTAATGATAGAACTAGGTGAATAATCAAGAAGTTGGAAGCAGGGGGTTAAAAATCAAAATTATGTGCAATTCATATATTTGAATATAAAATACTACAAAAAAGTTGGAGATAATTTGTCCGTTAGGAAAATGTGCTAAAGAACATAGTAAATGGAAGCAATGAACAACTTTATAAATAACATGAATAGATCATCAAAAATAAAGGGTTGGAGTAAACAAATCAATTACTGGAAAAAAAACCAAAGGATTGGGAAACAAAAATCTTCGACATAGAACAGTGTCTAATTTGAATATCACTTGACTAAAGTAAAAGCTACTTATGCTGCATAAACCACTCACTTTAAAATGCACACCCATACCTAAGAATATACATTGAATGTGCCAGTCTAAAGAGGAGGAGGAGGGAACGGTGAACCAGAGAATCAGGTGCAGGGGACACACCTGCTGTCCTAGCGCTTGGGAGGCCAAAGCCACCCTCAGCTGCATTTGTGCTCGAGGCCAGCCTGAGCTACACGAGACCTGGAATTTGTGCTTGTAAGTAGGCAAAAAAGATGTGGGCATCTTCTTCCTGCAGTTAAACTGTGACTTCTATCCTCCTCACTGTCTCTTGCTTATGCACTCAGAGAGAAACCAGGTACTATAGGGCAAGCTCCTCTCTGAAGAGGCTCACTCCACAAGGAAATGAGGGAGGGCCCACGCCAGCAATTAGTGACGAACTGAGGTTGTCACACCAAGAGCCTTCGAGGAGCTGAACCCTGTTAGCAACACAAATGAGCCTGACCCCTCCTTTGGTCAGATCTTGTGACGACTTCTGCCCTCGGTGACGTCTTCATTACAGCTTTGTGGACGCCTAACACACTCCTGACCCAGAGCAACTGGGAGATAAGTGTGTGTGTTTTAACACTAACCCACGCGGTAACTGATGAATACGGAGTAATAAAGGTTAGGCCTGAGCTTAGCCCACCTTATCAGCAACTCAAGATCCAGCAGCTAAAGTGCAAAAAAACAAAACAAAAACAAAAAGGGAGGGGAGGAGGGGAGAAAAAAAAGAAAAGAAAAGAGAAAAAAAAAATCCCATGACATAAATAATGAATGCCGGAAGTTGTGGCCACTCATGTTTCACCTCAATAAAAGCTGCAGAACAGATGACACCTTTCTTTTGTTAAATGTTCAGCACCCAGGACCATGCTTGGCACTTTGACGGGATAACTGCTTCTAGGCTTATCTTAACACCACCACCTCTTCCCTGGGTCTATCTTCTGATCCCGACTCTCCCGTTCCTTGATCTCTTCTCCTCCTGTGAAATTTTATTTTATTTATTAGGGTGTTTTGCCTGAGTACATGTGCACCAAGGAAGCATCAGACCCCGACACTGAAGTTGCAGACCTTTTTAAGCAGCTACATGGGTGCTGGAAACTGAAGTTAGGTCCTCTGGAAGATTGAGCCACCTCTCCAGGCCCACTTGATTCCTGTGTCATTACTTCTGCCCTGAAACCATCTCTGCCCTACAAGGAATGCCTAATCTGGGCAGCAGCACTGGAAGAGAGGAACCTGGCTAGCTCTGGAAGGTGTACAGCTCATCTGTATGACCTTCAACAACAGGTCTCTCTGAGTTTTGTTTTGTTGTTGTTTTCCCTTGATGGTCATGGTTCAGAGTTCAAAGCTCATAAATGTTAATCCTAGCCTTCTTCAACAGCATACTGTTTTAAATTTCTTTACCTAGTCAGATAAATTTCCTTTCAAGCCAAATCTTTTTCTTTCTTTCTTCAGGGAGGGGAACAGCAGGGTTTCACACTAGCTCAAGTTAGCCTAGAACCCACAGTAGCTCTCTTGCTCAGCTTCCCACGTGCCATGATTACAGTTGTGAGTTTCCACGCCTAGTTTGATAATTTCTAACAAATAATATAAAGCCAATCCAAAGTCACATTAACAAATGACATGCAAAGTCCCTTGGCTATCAAAAAAGCAAAAACAAACAACAAAAAAAAAAACAAAAAAAAAAAAACACCAAACTATTTATGGATATATTGGCAAATCAACTTTATCTCACTAATGTCAGATAAAAGTCATCATTTGTCTATTACTGCAGCAATATCTAAGCCAGAATACTAACACCTATATTTATAACCTTCTTCAATTTCCCTTATCATTGCTGAAATCCCACTGTAGGAGAACAGAAACTTTATCTAGCATAGTACCTGGCAGTATTTGAGGAAGAGTCTATGTAAGGGAAAAAAGCTAACAGACAAAAATTTAACTACTAATTGTTAACACTACTTACTGGCTCAAGGTTAATGTTCATATCACCCTCCAAAAATGTTGTCTCAAGATTCAGAATCTTAGTTCTCAGAAAGACAAGCAGCTGCTTCATCTTACTCAAGCCCTTCCTTTACCCAATATGCTCTGCTTTGTTTATAAGACATAATTTGAGCATAATAATTTGACATAATAATTGAGCATAATTTAGCCAAATGACTAAATTCATTTATTCAAATTAAACAAGCTACAACAGAAAGTTTTAATTCAAGCATAAATTTAATTACTTACAAAAAATTTACAGCTGTTTTAAGCAAACTTAATATCTGACCAAATAAAGTTCCTCCACAGAGACAAAGCAGGGGCTGGAGAGATGTCTCAGTGGTTACGACCACTGTCTGCTCTTCCAAAGGACATGGGTTCAATTCCCAGCACCCACATGGCAGCTCACATGTGGGTCTGTAACCCCAATTACAAGGGATCTAACACCTTCACACTAATGCACATTAAATAAAATTGAGAGAGAGAGAGACAAAGAGAAAGAGAGAGAGAGAGAGAGAGAAAGAGAAAGAGAGAATGAGAACTCCCCTGCCCTGACCATGTACAGCTAAAAAAAAAAAAAACAAAAAACAAAACAAAAACCCCACAACTAAGGAGCTCCAAAAGAGGCAACAAAATCAAACTTTGAGCACTAAGATCTAGCCAACCAGCATGGCCTCTCGGGTCCACATCTAAAACAGGTACCACAGCCATTTAATTTTTAAAGGTATGTAATGCTGGGCTCCACTGAGAACTGCCATTTTTACTGTAATGTATAGAGGTCAACCATTCAAAAAACATTTAAGGAGCAAAGAATTTCTTTGAAGCTAAAAGACAGAAGCAGAACCAGGTGTGGTAGCCTTTAATCCCAGAGCTTGGGAGGCAGAGGCAGTTGGATAGCTGTGAGTTTGAGGCCAGCCTGGTCTACAAATCGAGTCTAGGACAGCCAAGGCTACACAGAGAAACCCTGTCTTGGGGGGAAAAAAGGGAAGATGAACACCTGAAGGGGTAAGGCAGTGGTCGTCCTTGGCTACAAAGCAGCCAGCCTGGACTATAAGACACCCAGCCTGTCTCAAAAACACACATAAAAAGAAACAAATGCTAGCAATAAACACTTTCAGGGAGAAAAAAAAAGTGTGTGCCACAGTGCATGTGTGGAGGTCAAGAGGACAGACAACTTTGTGAAGTAGATTCTCTTTCTACCCTTAGCTGGGTTCAGGTTGTCAGGTTTGCCTGGCAAAGCACCCTCGGATGTGCTAAAGACAAACAATTTCAGGAAGTTTACCTCTGGGCTATGAGGAGTTAATTTGGCAGCTGAGGCTGTCAGTGAATGGTTTCTTTCCTTGAAGGCCATGGATGCTGCCTGACAGCTGTCAGCCGCCCACCCACCCTTGTGCATATGGGTAGCACTAACTTGATTCACAGATTTATTAATAGCAATGGGGGTTTATTAATAAAACAACAAAACATCTGAAGTTGGAGAAATGGGGCACTTGAGGGGTTGGAGGTAGTGTTGAATAGAGATGATCAATATGCATAGAGTAAGTGTATAAAATTTTCAAAGAACAAAAAATATTTTAAAAAAAGCAGTCACTGTGCTGCAAGGAATTATGCTAAAGACAAAAATAAAAGCCAGACTCAGTGGCACCCACCTATAATCCTAGTGCTTGGGAGGCAGAGGCAGGCGGATCTGTGAGTTCAGGGCCAGCCTGGCCTACAAATGGCCTACAACAGCCAAGGAGCCAAGGCTCCACCAGAGAAAAGCTGTCTCATAAAACCAAAAACCAACCAATCAACCAAACAAACGAAAACAGGTATTAGGCCTGGAAAATCTTTTTTAACTTTTGTGGAAATTATATGTAGGCGTTTATATTAATGGGAGGGAACAGGAAGCCAGAATGTTTCTACAGCATAGTTTTAAAATAAAAAGCATCAATGTTGGAAACCTAATATTTTAATATTTATCTGGATAGACCAGGGATGTAACTCAGTGTGTGAGTAACAGCTTATCATGTGTCAGGCCTTGGGTTTGTTACACAGTGCTGCAAAAAAAGTAAAAACAAAAATTTCTAAAATTAAAGTTAAGTAATAAATCTATAAATGTATTCCTGGGAAAAACGAAAACAAATGAAAGCCTGCCATGGGGCTGGCAAGATGGCTTAGGAGGTGAAGGCCCTTGACCCCCAGGCTAACAAAAGAAGCATGACCCACAGAATGGGAGAACCAACTCTCTTGGCCACTGAGCCAACTCTCCAGCGCCTGTGCTGAGGACTGGGTTCAGTTTCCAGCACAACTGCCTGAAACTCCAGTTCCAGGAGTCAATTGCCACCTCTGGCCTCCTCAGGCACATATGTAGTACACATACATACATACACACACACATACATAACTCATAAACATAAAATAAATGGCTCTTTAAAACAAAACAACAAACAAAAAACATGGGGTCGGGGGGAGAGACTGGAGGGTGGGAGGGAGGGGAAACTTCGGTCAGGATGTTAATATATGAAAAAAAGAATTTTTTAAAAAGCAAGTAAACAAACAACAAACAACAGGGAGGGCTAGAGAGATGGCTCAGAGGTTAAGAGCACTGGCTGCTCTTCTAAAGGTCTTGATTCAAATCCCAGCAACCACATGGTGGCTCACAGCCACCTATAATGAGATCTGGTGCCCTCTTCTGGAGTGCAGGTGTACATGCAGGCAGAACCCTGTACATGTAATCAATAAATCCATCTTAACAACAACAACTAGCTGGAGAGACGGCTCTCCACTTGATTAAAAGTTCACTGCTCTTGCAGTGAGAACCCAAGCTCAGTTCCCAACTGCCCGGAACTCCAGCTCTAGGGGATCTGATGCCTTCTTCCCTCAGGTACTGTCCCCTCACATGTGCCCATTCCCCAACACACAAACACAATTAAAATAAAATAAAGTCTTTTAAAAAGAAGCAAGATTAAAGGCCAAAAACCTTACCCAGCACTCTCTTGAAAGCATTTGAATAAGCCATGTGTAAATTTGTGGGTTTCTAATTTTGTGTGTGTGTGCGCGTGTGTGTGTGTGGGGTGTGACACAGCACATGTGTAGAGGTCAGAAGACAACCTGGGAAGCAATTCTCTCCTTCCACCCTTAGCTGGGTTCTAGGACTTGAACTCAGGTTGCAGGGTTGCCTGACAAAGTACTTTCAAAGATGCTGGAGAGAAGCAATTTCAGGAAGCTTACCTCTGGAACATAAAAGCAACTGCATAATAATTCACCTAGTCACTAACAACTATGAATAAGCACAAAAAAAAAAAAAAATGACAGACCCCTAGAGAACAATTAGAGCATGGCAGCATGGCATAGGTTTTTTTTTAACCTTTATATTCATCATACGATACATATTCAAGCACAGTAAGGTGCCTGCATTTTATTGACATGGGTCACACTGATTTGACATACTATCTTTTTTCATAGTCAAGTAGAAAGGAAAAATCAACATGCTGTTGTTGAACAGAAACACAATACAGTAAATTCCATGAGATTCTTTGATTCTTAATATTTATCAGAATTTTGGTACCAGCTTCAAAATCAAACACAGAATCCTCTGAAGTTTTTTTTAGAAACATACACACACATGCGCAACAGCCTTCTGGAATAATAAATGCCATAAAGGCTCACGTAGCTTTCTGTGGTCTATGATGCTAAAAGCTGATCAACAGTATTTTTTGTAAGCACGATACAGGTCAGAGGTTGCCGATATCGAAAGGAGGCAGTTTTCCTTCTACTAATTACCAAACCATCTCCTTCATAAATAAAAACAAGACAGTGATACATTAGGGCTGTTAATAACACCACAATAATGTTTCTTGACACCTACTAAGTGCACACCTTCCGAAATATCAATGTTGCAAGCAGGAATTAAAGTCTGATTTTAAAAGGAAGACATAAATGGGCGCCTTTAAGAGAAAGGGGCATTACTGTTCTGTTGGGAGTACTAATGATTACTAAGTAAAGGCTTGAACTGGACGTGAGGAGCCGCCTGTAATCCCAGAAGGCAGAGGCAAGGAGGATCAGGAGTTAAAGCTAGTTTTGGCTACAAGAGACACTGTCTCAAAATAAATAAATAAGGCTGGTAACAGTTACCTCTATGTTTGCAATTTTGCTGCCACCAAAACAAACCAAAAGGGCCATAGGCCTTCGTGAGAACACTGGGCTCTAAAACACATTAAGAAATAACTAACTTCAAGCCTGGCTTGGCGGTGCATCACCCCTTGTGATGCACACCTTTAATCCCAGCACTAGGAGGAAGACGAAGCTCTGAGTTCGAGGCCAGTCTACACACACACACACACACACACAGAAAGAAACAGCATCAATAATATCACACTTAAAAACCAACCAACCAACAAGCAGTGAGTTGGCACAAGCTGGTAAAGGTGACGACCGGAGTTCAACCCTGGGACCCACAACAGTGGTGGATGGAGGGAAACCACTCCAAAGAGCTGACCTCTGACCTCTACTCGCGCGCCCACATCTACATTATACTCACTCATTAGCAACAAAACTTAAAACCAATAATATAAACAAATACAAAGGAGAAACGGAACAAAAATAACCAAGCCGCCCAAAGGCAGTACATCACCAACATAAACTACGAAAAGAAGCTGAATCCCAACGTCCAGGCTTGGGGGACTTTTACTGGGCGGAGGTTTCGGGGCGGGGACGTGAAGGTTTCAAACCTGTTCTCGGGTCGGGTGACACCTGCACCGACCCGGGCCTGAGGTGGCTTCGGAGCGCGTCGGCGAGCGCCGCTCGGAAGCCGGACGCGGCGCCCTGCGGCCCGAGCACTCACCTGCGGCGGCCGAGGCTCCGGGACAAGCTGCCCGCCGAGGGGCGGGGGATGAGGCCCGAGCCACAGCGTCGCGCTCGCTCCGGGAGCCGCACGGCCGAGGCCCGCGGGCGCCGCCGTCCCGGCCCGCTGCCAACCTGAAGTCAGAGCCCGGCAGACCGACTCACAGCGCCCTCCGCCAAGCCCGCAGCCTCGGGGCCACGCCCCGGAAGTGAGGCTCCACGGGCATGCGCGCACAGGCGAAAGCCGCAGAGGGGCGTGGCCAGGCTCTGGGTGCGTCTGCGCAGTCCACGAGGTCGCTAAGGAGTAGGCGTGGCGAAGGCCTGGGCGCTGCCTGGCCTAGTTGAGTGCCTGCCCTGTGGCCCTTGTTGGCTAGCTCTTCGCAAGGCCCGTTCACGTTGCCTCCACGTAGACTTTCACCGAGCTGCTCTGAGGATAGGAGGTCAGGGGCACTCTTACAGGTCAAGCAATTCGTTATGACAAATCTTGCTTTAGAACCTGGTACTTACAGGCCGGGACCCGGGTCACAGTTTAACACCAATACTCTCAAGACACGCTACGTCCCTGATTATTTTTAGGGGCTACCGTTTTAATATAGTCATACAAGTAAAGTTATGTTTCACGACAGGGAGAGTCATCTACACGTTTCCCTTTAGGGATGCACGTAATGTGTGTCTCTTCGTAACATTATCGCATCCCAGCCAAGGGCCAGACCTTGTGCTTGCTTTTCATTCTAGCGCTTGGGCAGGTTAGGTGGGTCTCTGTGAGTTCCCGGCCAGCCTGGTGTTAAAGTATGGTAATCATTTTAATATCAGACAAGGGTAAGTATGATAACCTCAAACTCCAGGGTGGTCTTCCTGCCTCAGCTTCCCAAGTGCGGTGACACCATTTCTTCTCACCTGCTTTGCCTTTTAACATTTGCAGTGCTGAGCCCAGCTCTGTACTGCGCTACATCCCAGCTCTTCTTAGCTCCGTCCAGCTCAGCTCACAGCTGGATGGATGCAATCACTGGAACCGGAAGAAATAAATTAATAAGTGGAGGTGGGGTTCCTATTTAGTTTTATGTCAACTTGACACTAGCTAGAGACATCTAAAAGGAGGGAACCTCAGCTGAGAAAAATCCCTCCTTCAGATCCAAGTATAGGACATTTTCTTTTTTTCTTTGATTCCTTTTATTTTTTTCTGTGCTCAGGTTTTTCTTTTTCTTTTTGTCGTTTTAGTTTTTATATTAATTACAGTTTATTCACTTTGTATCCAAGCTGTAGGCCCCTCCCTCCCTTATCTCCTCCCAAGCCCTTCTCCAAGTCCACTGATGGGGGAGGTCCTCCTTCCCTTCCTTCTGACCCTAGCTTATCAGGTCTCATCAGGACTGTCTGCATTGTCCTCCTCTGTGGCCTGGCAAGACTGCTCCCCCTCATGGAAGTGGTTAAAGAACCAGCCACTGAGTTCATATCAGAGACAGTCCCTGCTCCCTTTACTAGGGTACCCACTTGGAGACTGAGCTGATAGAGCATTTTCTTAATGAATGACTGATGCGAGAGGATGAAAACCACTGTGGATGGTCCTAGGCCTGGGCTGCTGGTCCTGGGTTCTATAAGAACGCAGGCTGAGCAAACCATGACGAGCAAGCCAGTAAGCAGCACCCCTTCATGACTTAGGTATCAGCTCCTGCCTCCAGGTTCCTGCCCTGCTGGAGTTCCTGTCCTGATTTCCTTCAGCGGTAGACTATGATGTAGAAGTACAAGCCTAAGACAACTTTCCTCCCCAACTTGCTTTTTGCTGTGGTGTTTTATCACAGCCGTAGTAACCCACACTAGGATAGGGATGTGATGATGCAGGCTTTTAAGCCCAGCACTCTCACAAGGCAGAGACAAAAGGATCCCTCTGAGTTTTGAAGTCATAATGGTCTACATATCAAGTTTCGGGACAGCCAGGGGCTACATAGAGATCAAAAAAGAAGAGGAAGAGCAGGAGCTCAAGGAGGAGGAGAGAGTATAACGTTCCGGTACGATTTAAGTGATGATGATTACAACAGATCTTCTCTGAAAGTGGTTTATTAGGTGGAGATGGAGAGAAAGAGGACGTGATGGGGAAAAGAGAGAGGAGGGTGCCCTGACAGAGAAAGGGGAGAGGTCCAAGAGAGGCCAAGAGAAGGGGAGCAAGAGAGAAGGGACCAAGAGAGGAGAGACCACATGGCTGGCTGGTCCTTTTAAGGAGGAAGGTAACCACGCCTTCCAGGTGTGGCCACCTGGCGGGTGACACAATGACATCATTAGTTGCTAGGCAACCCAGGAGCAGGTTTAGTTCCAAAATCCTAACAGAATTGCATAGTTTCTGCCTGGATAGGATACAAATCATTTCCCCTCACATTTCATTACCTAGAGCAAGTCATGTTGTCATTTGAATTTCAAAGGGACAGACACGCAATCTGCAGTGTCCTCTGGAGGGATGCTTAGGAGCCATCTGCTCATGAGTCATTACCCATCATTGCTCTGATGGTGTGGCTTGCAGAACCACCTCCATTCCCAAACAATTGCATCCCAAATGGGGCTCAGAAAACTAGACTGCTTTTTTTCTGGTAAACAGCCAGCCTAATGTGGCAGGGCTATGGGGAAAGAGGTATAAAGGTAGTTGGCCAAAGATTTAAGCTTTATTAACAACAACAACAAAAAAAGGTAGTAAGTGTTCAAATGAAGGTATAAATTATGTGTCAAACAGAGGATAAATTTGGCAGATAGAAGAAGAGAGAAGTAACTTGGAGGAGAGAGAAAATAGGGTGATATCTGAAAGAGGTGTGTGGCCTCTGGAGTTACACAGGAATTCCACAAAGGGTCACTTCCCTGACAGTGTTTATTTATTGTCTCTTGCTGCAGAAGAGAAAATTAAGTTACGCACCATGCCTAGCATACAGTAGGCACCCACTAGATGGTTGTAGAATAAATGAACTCAATGTATACTTTACAGTGCCACAATCTTTCCAAGGTTTCTCATTGTTATGTGTGTGAATGTCTTGCTTGCCTCTGTGTATGTACACTGCATGTGTGCCTAGGGCCCGCAGAAACCAGAAAAGGGTGCGAAATTTGCCAGAATGGGATCTGTAGAGGGTGAGAGCCCCCGAGCGGATGGTGGGAACTGAGCCCATGTCCTCTGTAGGAGCACTAGTGCTCTTAACCACTGAGCCACCATCTTCCCAGCCCCTGGAGAGCATCATTTCAAAAGGAGAGAAACTTCTTCTGTCTCACTGGAAACCAAAAGGGAGATTCAGGTCCAGCTCATTAATTTGCTCAGTTGTCAACTTTCCTTTATGTACTGAAAAACTTTGAGACATCTCTTAGCATATACGGCAATCTCATTTTTATTATCTGCGTGCCCTCAAAAACATTTTTTACATATTTTTCTCCTTGTCTCCTTTCTTTGGAGATTTATTATGTGCGTTTATTTATCTCTCTTTTACCACCTTTTCAGTTAATATCCTTTTCTGTATTGACTTTACTTAAACTCTTTCCAATCTTAACATGGCTTATTCCTTTTGATTTATTTAATTCAGTCTTTAAGGATTTTATTTTATCGAATTTAAACTGTATCTATCTGTGATGTTTCACATACAGTGTCTTTCCTTCTTTAACACTAAAACACATGTTTAAATGTTTTTTGCCTGGTTGATTGAGTTTGAATTTTTTCTCTGTCCCTCTGTGTCTGTGATCAGTTCCTGTCTCCTGTGCTGTGCTGTTTGGCCACACCAACCATCCCTTCACTCACAGAGAGAGGCCTTTCAGCCTTCTGCCTTACTCTAGCCTATGGGCAGTTCCAGGTCTCATGACTTTTTGATTTCCTGAAACTCATATGAATGTTTAATTTACAAAAGAAATTTTTTTAAAAAAAATTCTGTAGAAAAGTAACATATCAGCAAATCTAATATAACAACATTCTGAGAGTAACAGGTAAAACTGCATCCAACAGAATGAGTATCAGTTCTTCTTAGCTATTTGTTTTGTAACCTTTATAAACAAAGTGTGTCCATGGTCTGAAACTAACACTTTTTCTGTGGGCACAGATGTTGGTAATCAGCCACCAATGGAGCTCAGCCACTTTTTGTACACTCAACATCTACTTTTAGCCCCCACCTCCCACTTCTGCCCCATGGAACCATGCTAGGGAGAGGCCCCCATTTGCCTTGGGGCGCCAGCTTCTGCCGTTTCTCTATTTAACAGGGTTTTGTTTGTTTGTTTGTTTTTCTTAAAAAGACAGAGCTTGCTTTGAATCTGTTTTGTTTTCGCGGAGGTCTTGTGCCTCTACCCAGGACTTTTCTCACGTTAGTTTGGATTCTGTGCTCCCCATACACTATGCCATTATGCTGCAGGGGGTTTTCCTCGTGGCCCCAAGCTCCTGGAATCTTAAGACTCATGAGACTCAAAATATATCTGCAAATACCTAAGCCATATAGGTAGGCTCTTCTCTGACTAGCTCATAACTTAAAATAACCCGTTTATTCTAATCTACCATGGCTGGTTACCTGTGCTCAGGTACCATGCATCTGTCCACACATCTTCCCAGATGAATCTCCTGCATCTGGCTCCATCCCAGAATCCTTTCTGTCTCCCAGATGTCCCACATCCTATTTACTGCCTAACACATCAAATTGTTTATTGACAGGTATTGCATTCATATAATACACAAGATAGTCCCTCAACATGAATCCAAGCCATAAATTACATTACATTTTAGGTTATATCACACAGTATCATTCCACTGTCTTTTGGCTTTGCTGTATAAGTTTTTATAAGCCAGTGGGTATTCACTATGTAATATAATGTATTGTTTTCCTTTGTCTGCCTTAAGATTTTTCTCCCTGGTCTTAGTTCCCAACCATTTGCCTCTTGCCAAATGTCAGATGCTTTCCAGATGTTGCTGTAGTTTAGGCCTTCCAGCAAGTACCCTCTACACATCCTTTCACTGGAAGAGATTCATGCTCCTGGGTAAATGGAGAGTTTATAGGAGGCTGGGATACATTGTATCCTATTGTAAGTCTGAGTCTTATGAAAGAGAGAGGGAACACTGGATGAGAATGGTTTCAGACGCTTATGATATTCTAAGAGCATTTTGATAAGATGGATGTGGAGGTTCCAGTTCACTGGAGAAGCAATCTGGATTTGGGGGTGTCTTAGCATCCCTGCTGATCTGATCAATAGCTGGAATCCAGTGAAGT